AGGAACTCCTGAATGACTTCCACCAATCAGAACAAAACCCCAGGCTGCCTGACCTCTCCACTGCTGTCCTGCCTCATCTCCTGGGACGACCTTCGCCACCCCGGTCACTTCTCCTCAGGAACACTGCACTTCCTGTTCCCCGCTCACTGAGAACCTCCTCCTCCTGAGTTCCTCCCATGGCTTGCCCTTCTGTTCCAAGACCACCTCCTCAGTGAAGCCTTCCCTGACTGCCCGCCCTAAGATAGCCCATAAGTCAGGGCCAGGGCACCCCCTTCTCCATGCCAGTAGTCTGCTCTCCAGTGGCTCCCAAACCTGAGTATCCATTAGAATCACCAAGGTGGGGGGGGTGGTCCTTAAAGCACAGACCCTTGGACATCACCTCCAGGGATCCTGAGGCCGTAGGTATGAGGTGGGTGGGCTCACGGCTTTGCATTTAAACAAGCTCCTGGATGATGCTGAGGTTGCTGATCCATGAATATCCTGCCCCTTTCTCCCAACTTTTTCTTTCTTAGCTAATTATGACAATTACAATTTTATCATAATTGTCTCTTTAAAATATCATGAAGCACAAACTAGCTGCTGTATAAACACTTGTCTAAAGACTTAAAAATAGATCCTCCCATGTCTGGTTCTCAAGAGAGCTGCTGCGCAGCCTCCCCTTCCCCACACTGTCCGCCTCCTCGCCCCTCACCTGTCTCCTGGGTCTCATCGCACTCGGTGGCCTGGCTCTCATTGATGTAGATGCTTCCATTGCGAATCAGCCACACGACCCCACTCAGCAGCTGCACAAATGGATTCTCAGTGTCCAGCACCTCCTCCTCAGACAGATACCTGGACCCAGGGAAGGCGTGAGGCTCACTCACCAACTGGCTAACCGTGTGGGTGGTGGGGCTGCTTTTCCCTTCCCTCCTCATCCCGGCTTCCTGATTCTTCCTCCTGCCCCAGGAAGGGCCTGCACCTGAGAATAGCTATGGTGCTCTGCAACTCTGTGGAATCTTCCTGTTCTAACAGCCAAGACCAACAGGACTGAAGTTGGCAGGGTTCTGTCACAACTCTGCAAACAGTCTATACTTCATTTAACAGAAAAAGCCACCCCATCGATCTCAAATCCACGTGTGGCCTTCACTCTCTAGGCTGTCACTCCAGCAAAGCTACCCCTCGTGCCTGTAACAGGCTCAACCGGCCTCCTTGTTTCCCCCATCCAGCCTCTGCCCAGCTCCCCCAGAGTTACGGCAGACTCTTAATCAGTCTGTCACCCTCTGATAACAGGCTCCTTTTGTGGGTCCCTCACACACAGGCACCTCTCAGCCTTTGTGCCTGCTGCTCCCTCTGCCTGGAATGCTTTTTCTTGAGTTCTGACCTTGGCTGATTAATCCTCAGGTCTCAAGTCCAGGGTCACTTTCTCAGGCCTATTCCTCACCATCCTACCTAAAAAACCCAATTTCCAACTATGGTGGGTTCACCCTGATCGTTTGAATCTGAATTCATCTTCACTATTTACCTGACCTTGGTTTACTTTTCTTAGTAATGGGGATGGTCTGTTAAGGAAGGCAAATGCGTGCTCTTCACCGCTATCCCCCCCAGGGGACGTCACACTGCCTGACATGAAACAAGCACTCAAAGACACAGCGTGAACCGCTTTACTATCCCCATTCTGCAGAGGAGGAAAAGGAGGCTCAGTCCGGTTAGGTGACTTGAACACAGCTGCAGAACTGCAACCCAAATCTCAGGCCCTCTGCCCTCGACAGCCGCGGAGCTCCGCGCCTCCTCACCCAGTGACCAGGGTCCCGTCGCGGCGGATCCCGAACTGCGCGTTCTGCAGCCCCCCGGAGCTGCTCACCCGCCGCCCGTCGCTCACCACGTTCCCCAGGCACTCGCCCGTGTTCATGCGGAAGAACCCGCCGTTCTGGGCGACGCGGCAGCCGGCGGACCGCGCCGTCTCCTCCACCGTGGCGCGGCGCCTCTCGGAACAGCCTCCGGACCCGCCGGGCTCCAGCACGGAGAAGGTGCGCAGGGGCGCGGCGACCCGCGTCAGGTGGCCGGCCACCGGGCGCCCGCCGAAGTGCGAGACGAAGGCGCGCACGCTCGGGCTGCCGGCGCCGGGGCTCGCGGCGGGCGGGGGCCAGCTCTCGTGCTCGCGGCTGCCGGAGCGGACCCGCGTGCAGTCCCGGGCGAGGCGCGCGCGCGCGCGGGGATAGGGCAACAGCAGGTCGTCGTCGCGGGAGGCCCTGCGGGCACGCGCAGGTGAGCACGGAGGGCAGGGGTCCCCGCGCCGCGCCCGCCCGCCCGGCCAGCCCACTCACCCAGCGCCCAGGCCGCCGGACGCAGCCCCGAGGAAGCCGAGCAGCGCGACCAGGAAGAGAAGCCCTCGACCCGTGGGCGTCGCCATGTTGGGGGTCGGGCCTCCGGTCACGTGGGCCCGCCTCACGTGACTCGAGACCCTCCGGTGGCGGCTTCCCCCTCGGAACGGCTCAGCTCCTTCCCGGTCTCGCGAGAACTCTCTTCCCAAGGACGCGCGGGCTCTTCTTTTAAAATCCGCGCGGGTCGGGCCGAGTCGCCGGTGGAAAGGCACTTCTTACCCTGACGTGGTGGCAGGCCGTGGGGGCCCGCCCCGCCCCGGGCCGCAGCCCCTGCCGCAGGAGCCGGCGCCGGCGGACCCCCCGGGTCTGGTTCCCGAGGAGCCTGGTTCCCGAGGAGCCTGGTTCCCGAGGAGCCTGGTTCCCGAGGAGCCTGGTTCCCGAGGAGCCTGGTTCCCGAGGAGCCTGGTTCCCGAGGAGCCTGTTCCCCGCGCCGCGTCCTTTCCTGCGTCTCAGTCCCGCCCTCAGCGTCTCTGCACCCGCGTGGGAGACCCCAGCGCCCCTACCCTGCACCCGTGGACCTGGCAAGTGCTTAAACACGAGTGAGGAGGGGCTGGGGTGCTCAGTGGTAGAGCGTGGCCTGGCCCATGTGAGGCACCGGGTTCGGTTCTCAGCACCACCTCTAAGTAAGTAAAACAAAGGTCCATGGACAACTAAATACATACATATATATATATAAAATGAGTGATGATGGTGGCTCTCTGGAAATCCCTGGTTGGAGTCTGATTTAAGGTCTTCCTTAGGTAGTGACATCAGTGATAAAAGTCAGTAAAACATTACCTCTCCACTTCTTTGAAAACTAAGCTCTATTCTTTAAAATAGCCGAATAAGTTGATGTTTCCTCTTTAAAAAAAATTATAAAGAACTCCCTTATACAGTTTGCTCAGATTTCTCGATTGTTAACATTTGCCCTATTTAATAGTGTTACTTTATTCATACACCTTTTTTCCTGAGCAAATTGCAGCTATGTTGCAGACACGGTCCTTTACCTCAATACTTCACTATGACCTTCCAGGACAATAGGACAATGACATTTTCCTTTTTTTTTTTTTTCCTTTGGTACTTACGATTGAACCCAGGGGTGCTTAACCACACTGAGCCACATCCCCAACCCTTCTTTACATTTTATTTAGAGAAAGGGTCTCACTGAGTTGCTAAGTGCTCCGCTAAGTTTCTCAGGCTGGCTTTGAAATTAACAATCCTCCTGCCTCAGCCTCCCAAACTGCTGGGATTACAGGCGTGTGCTGCTGGACAAGTGAAATTAGGACGTGTTGCATTGATAATACTTATACTGTTTAATCCCTAGTTCATCTTCAAATTTTGCCAGTTTTCCCTGTAATGTCCTTTGTAACTCCCTCCATCCCAATCCAGGATCCAGGTGGGAGCTGCATTTAGTTATCCTCTTTGGTCTCCCTTAACGTAGAACACTGCCTCATCCTGGCTTTGACTTATGACCTAGGCATTTTTGATGAGAGACAGGCAAGGTCAGCTACATTATTTGTGGAACCTTGTGTACCACAAAAACATGGGGTCCTTTCTATGAAAAATATTTAGAATTTCAGGAGGGCATGGTGATGCACACCTATAATCCCAGAAGCTGAGACAGGAGGTTCACAAGTTTGAGCACCTTAGCAAGAGCCTGTCTCAAAAAATAAAAAGTACTGTGGAGGTAGCTCAGTGGAAAAATGCCCTGTGTTCTGTCCCCACCCTGGGTTTACTCCCCAGCACCCCCCCCCAAAAAAAAAAGGAAAAGTAAAATGAATGTGAAAGTGCAACTCTTATGTGTAGAACAGTGGCCTTCAGCTGTGCCTAAACCTTTGTATTTCATTTTGTAAAACACGAGTTTGCCATGAGCTCCTCCATTGAGAACGAGCTAAGGTAGGATGACTCCACACTTTTTTTCTACAAGTAAAGAACCACCATCTGCCTGTACAATCACAAGTGCAAATTGATGAATAACCTCTATGTACCAACTTATCAAACTAAACCAAGGAGTAGCTGCACACAGGGACCTCCCAAATCAGGAACCCACACAAGTTGAGCTTTTCGCCATCAGCAGATGTGAATCCCTCACTAAGACCCTTAAGCTGATCACAGTGAAAGACCCCAGCCCAGTAACCTAAGGCCTTGTTGCGAAAGCATGCAGGTATGTCACAAACAAGTCTAAGCACCGGATGAACTTTCCACATAACCGGTTGAGAAAGAGCAGTTTAACTGCTCTTCGACATGCCTGAGCAAACAGGAACAGATAAGCAAAAACGGAATGTAAGCCTGTGGGTTTTCCGGGAACTTAAGTGAAAAACAAGTTTACCCTTTAGGTAACCTATATGCTGGGTTCAAAAGAGCCAATGAGATACCTGCTATTATGCTAGGCGGGAAACTGACCCCTGTACCCTATAAAAGATCTGTGCCCCAAAGCCCGGTGTGCCAGTCACCAAAGCTTCGGCTGAGGTTTTGCTGTGCACCCACAGGCGCCTGTGTAGCAATAAACTGCCTCTTGCTTTTGCAGCCAGTGTTTTGTTCGTGTGGTTCGTTCTTGGACGGGGAGTCTAAGTCTTTCATTTGGAGGTCCCACCGAGATTCTTCTTCTCTTCCGGACCCCTGTCCGGGGGAACACCCGGCATCACTGGGAGGTAAGCTGGCCAGCTCGAGCTTTTGTATTATTTTTGTCCATGGTCTAGCGCAGCGACTGTACGACTACGCGTGATCGCTCTGTATTCTGAGGCAGCTTGAGAAGGAGTTGACGAACTCAGACTTCTCCCCTGCCACCCTGGAAGACGTCCCAGGGATCAGAGGGGTCCATTTTTTTGGGACCCCCAGTGTTTCCGAAGGATACACTGTCCTTTTTGTGGGTGACGGTGGAGTTTCCACTCCCCCTAAGCCATTAGATAGTTTCGGTTTGTGCCGAAGCCGCGCAGCGCTTTTTCTGCTTTGTGTGACTTGCGTGTCTATCTTTCTGTCACTCTGTCTTCCTCTTACTGAAACTAACATGGGCCAATCTCTAGTAACTCCTCTGAGTCTCACTCTTGACCATTGGCAGGACGTCCGGAACCGAGCGGACAACCGATCGGTGGAAATTAAGAAGAGAAAGTGGGTCACACTCTGTACCACGGAATGGCCAACGCTTGACGTTGGCTGGCCCAAAGAAGGGACATTTAACCTTGATCTTATCTTACAGGTGAAATCACGAGTCTTTATCCAAGGTCCTCAGGGACACCCTGATCAAATACCCTATATTGTTACTTGGGAAGATTTAGCCTTCGACCCACCTCCTTGGGTCGCCCCCTTCTCCCTGCCTAAACTCCCTCTCCGCCCTCTCGAAGCTTCACTTTCGCCTTCCGCCCCACTTAGTCCGGTACCTGCTCCCCCTCCCAAGACTTCTAGACTCTATCCTATTCTAAGTAAACCTGAAACTTCAGCACTATCAGGTGCCAAATCAAAGAAGGTCTTGCCGCCAGAAGACTCAACTCTAATAGACCTGATGACTGAAGAACCCCCACCCTATCAGCCCCAACCTTTACCAGCCCCTGACCCTGTCCAGGCATCCTCAGAAGAAGAAGATCAAGAAGATCCAACCACCAACACTCCTCTAGGTCCTTCTCCAATGGTGGGAAGACTCCGGGGGCGACGGGAGCTCTTCACCTCAGGGGACACCTCTAAAGCTTTCCCCCTACGACAGACGGGGGGCCCTAATGGCCAATACCAGTACTGGCCTTTCTCTGCCTCCGATCTCTACAATTGGAAAACCCATAACCCCTCTTTTTCTAATGACCCTGTAGCCCTAACTTCTCTGATTGAATCTATCCTAGTGACTCATCAGCCAACCTGGGATGATTGCCAGCAGCTTTTGCAGACTCCTCACTTCAGAGGAGAAGCAAAAGGTTCTCTTAGAGGCTCGTAAAAATGTGCCGGGGGATGACGGGCGTCCAACCCAACTCCCAAATTTGATAAATGAAGCTTTTCCCTTGACTCGACCAGACTGGGATTATACCACTGGTGCAGGTAGGAACCACCTACGCCTCTATCGCCAGTTACTCATAGCGGGTCTCCATGGAGCAGGGCGGCGGCCCACCAATTTGGCTCAGGTAAGACAAACTATTCAGGGGTCAGAAGAAACTCTGACCGCATTCTTAGAGAGATTAAAGGAAGCCTATCGAAGGTATACTCCCTTTAATCCTGATAGTGAGGACCAAAAGGGAAATGTTTCTATGGCCTTCATTTGGCAATCTGCTCCCGATATTAGAGCTAAGTTACAAAGGTTAGACAACCTGCAAGACTATACTCTAGCAGACTTACTGAAGGAAGCTGAAAAGATATTCAATAAGAGGGAGACCCCAGAGGAGCGAGAAGAAAGACATAGAAAAATACAAGAAGAAAGAGAAGTTCAGAGAGGAATTAGACAAAAGAGAGAGAGAAAAAGACCGGAAGCGCAACAGAGAGCTGAGTAAGATCCTGGCCACCGTAGCTCGGACAGGGCAACAAAGAGATAGAGCAGATAAGGAAAAGGAGCGAAGCAGACCCCATGTAAACCGAGACCAGTGTGCCTACTGCAAGGACTCTTGGGTCAGACAACGGGCCTGCCTTCGTCTCCCAGGTAAGTCAGTTGGTGGCCAGATCACTGGGGATTAATTGAAAATTACATTGTGCTTATAGACCCCAAAGCTCAGGGCAGGTAGAAAGGATGAATAGAACCATCAAGGAGACTTTAACTAAATTAACGCTTGAAACTGGCACTAGAGACTGGGTACTACTCCTGCCTTTAGCTTTATATAGGGCCCGAAATACCCCAGGCCCTCAGGGATTAACCCCCTTTGAGATCCTATATGGTGCTCCGCCACCTGCTATAAATTTTTATGAAACTGAAATCTCTGCTTTAATTACCCCATCTGTACAGACTCACTCACGTGCACTGCAACTGGTCCAGAACGAGGTCTGGAAGCCTTTAGCAGCAGCATATAAGGAAGAACTCAAAAACTCCTTGCTACCACATCCCTTCAAAATTGGAGACATCATCTGGGTACGCAGACACCAGAACAAAAACCTTGAACCGCGATGGAAAGGACCCTACACTGTCCTGCTGACTACTCCTACTGCAATCAAGGTGGACGGTATCGCTGCTTGGGTCCATGCCTCCCATGTAAAAGCTGCACATCCACAAGATCAGATGACCACACCCCAGGATTCAAAATGGAAGCTGCAGCGCACTCAGAACCCGTTAAAGATAAGACTTACCCGTTGCTGATTTTCCTTACCCTTTGCTTTGCTCCCCTCGCCTCAGGAGATAGCCCCCATGTCCCATTAACCTTAACCTGGACAGTTCAAAATGTGGAAACAGCTAAAACAATAACCCTATTTCAAGGCCTAGGGCACTACCCCTCACCCAGCGGGTGGCCAAATATGACCTTTGACCTTTGTGAACTAGCCGAGGGATCATGGCCTAACACGGGAAGAACCCCATCAGACTCATACCCCCCTTGCCGATTTCGATCATGGTACACATGCCCAGGGCGACAACGCACCTGGAAATGTGGGGGACCTGAGGCTTATTACTGTGCCTCATGGGGATGTGAAACTAGTTCTAGTGGCTATTGGCTCCCATCACCCAAGGACGATTTTGCCCAGTTTTTTCAAACGACCCCAGGGGAATCTAATATAACCATCCGGATTCCCCGGCTGGGACATCTGCAAACAGGCTGGACCCACGGGTATCTATGGGGAATCCGTCTTTATACCCCGGGGCAACATAATCCAGGCCTGCTCTTCCGGCTTCAGTTAACTATGGATAGAAATCCCTCAATTTTTGTAAGGCCCAATCCGGTACTCGGAGACCAGAGGGTCCCCTCATCACCCAACCGGCCTGAAGTCCCTATAAAGGCTTCCTCCAGCAGACCACCCATAACTAAGAATTACCGAACCTCTGACTATTTCCTTGAGCCCACTCACCCCGGGACCTGATTCAAGGAGCTTTTTACGCCCTTAATGCTACTAACCCTAACCGTACTCAAGATTGTTGGCTATGTTTAACCTCAAGCCCACCCTATTATGAAGGGATAGCAATACTGTCTAATTGGTACGACAACAGCATCCCTGACCCTAAATGTGTATCTTTACCCAGTTATAAGCTTACTATCACTGAAGTTACAGGAGAAGGGGTCTGCATAGGACATGTACCTCCCCCATACCAACATCTCTGTAATATTACCCTCCAAGTGACTAGCTCCCAAAATGAATACTGGTGGGGCCCCAATGGAACCTATTGGGCTTGTAATACTGGACTAACCCCCTGTGTTTCTATATCAGTCCTGAATGCATCCACTGATTTTTGCGTGCTGATACAATTGTGGCCTAAGATATCTTATTTAGAGTCAAAATATGTTCTAGGACATTTTGAGGGAAGAACGCGATTCCACAGAGAGCCCATTACCATGACCATCGCCCTCCTCCTAGGCATAGGTGGAATAGCAGCTGGAATAGGAACTGGGACAGCCGCCTACATCCAAGGGGGTCAACTGCTGCACCTCCAGATGGCAATGAATGAGGATTTAACTGCCATGGCCAAGTCTATCATGGCCTTAGAGAAATCTCTCTCTTCCCTCTCAGAAGTCGTGCTACAAAATAGGAGAGGATTAGATCTGTTATTCCTTAGGGAAGGTGGTCTCTGCGTGGCTTTAAAGGAACAATGTTGTTTTTATGCTGACCATACGGGGGTGGTCCGGGAAACTATGGAAAAAGTCACTGAAAGGTTGGCCAAAAGGCAAAAAGAATTTGAAGCACAACAAGGATGGTTTGAACATTGGTTTAACAAATCCCCATGGTTAACTACTTTGCTATCCACCATAGCGGGACCTTTAGTTATTCTGCTGATAATCCTAACGTTTGGACCCTGCATACTCAATAGATTGGTGCAATTCATGAAGGAGAGGCTTTCTGTGATTCAAACTATGGTTCTTACTCAACAATACCAGTTGCTCCAGCAACAGGCAGGGTCCCAAACAAGTCTAGCCCAAGAACCTGAGCAATCAGAATAGTGGATATAAGATTTTATCCATGTTATAGAAAAAGGGGGGAATGAAAGACCCCAGCCCAGTAACCTAAGGCCTTGTTGTGAAAGCATGCAGGTATGTCACAAACAAGTCTAAGCACCGGATGAACTTTCCACATAACCAGCTGAGAAAGAGCAGTTTAACTGCTCTTCGACATGCCTGAGCAAACAGGAACAGATAAGCAAAAACGGAATGTAAGCCTGTGGGTTTTCCGGGAACTTAAGTGAAAAACAAGTTTACCCTTTAGGTAACCTATATGCTGGGTTCAAAAGAGCCAATGAGATACCTGCTATTGTGCTAGGCGGGAAACTGACCCCTGTACCCTATAAAAGATCTGTACCCCAAAGCCCGGTGTGCCAGTCACCAAAGCTTCGGCTGAGGTTTTGCTGTGCACCTGCAGGCGCCTGTGTAGCAATAAACTGCTTCTTGCTTTTGCAGCCAGTGTTTTGTTCGTGTGGTTCGTTCTTGGACGGGGAGTCTAAGTCTTTCAACAGCATCCCCTGTTACCTGGTCACTCCTTATGAGACTTGCCCAGGATAATCGCCACAGGGATGAACTTCTGATTTCTTGTCCCCATCAGGCTTTAGCAGAACGTGCTTTCTCCTGCCTGTGATGACCACGCGTGACCCGCTTCAAATTGACTCTCTGAAACGGAAACTGCCATCTGTCAGGACCCTCTGCTTTGAGCACTCTGAGGACCTGCCTTGTTAAAACCCTTATCTGGCCACCTACAGTGACTCTGCACTCATATCCTCTCTGCCTGTGCTCAGCATCCTGTCACCCTGCGGCTGCCTTAACCCTTTCTTAGTGTTTCTGTGACCCATTTATATGTTACCGTGTGAAGTACGATGTGTGACTTGAACGTTGCACATATTAGAAATTAAGATTGGAGGCCAGGCGTGGTGGCGCACACCTGTAATCCCAGCTGCTCTGGAGGAGAGGCAGGAGAATCGCAAGTTCAAAGCCAGTCTCAGCAATTTAGTGAGTCGCTAAGCAACTCAGTGAGACCCTGTCTCTAATAAAACACAAAAATGGGCTGGGGATGTGGCTCAGTGGTTGAGTGCCCTTGAGTTCAATCCTTGGAACCACACAAAAATAATAATAATAATAATAATAAGATTGGAATAAAAGACCTGTTTGTCTAGTTTATGACTACCAGCTGACCCACACCTGCTTCCCACCTGTGAATTTGTCATTTGATAAACTCTGACATTGTGGAAAGACACGTTTTGCCTAAGTTAATGGCATAGTTAGCTCACAACAGGTGGCGAGAACAGAGGGTTAAAGCAGCCCAGGACCCTCTGCAGGGTCCTGAGTGAAGCCTTGGAGCTGGCCCTGGGGGCAAGAGCCTCTCAGGGCTCTTGTCCCATGACAGTGTCCAGGTTAGACAGTGCCTGGGTGCCTGTGCCATGTGTGGCCGTCCTAGGAGCCCTGGCGAGCCTAGTTGGCCATCAATGCCAGGCCCCTCTGGGGGCCACTGTTGTGATTCAGTGTGTGACAGGGTCAGATGCCAGAACCTCAGGGTAAGACCTTATTTGAATATTGGAACTTTGCAGACATAATCAGTTAAGATGAGGTCACACTGGGATGGAGCGAACACCAATCTGATTGGTGTCCTTAGGAGAAGAGATGGAGACACAGAGAGAAAAAGGCCACATGAAGACATGGCAGAGGCTGGAGTGGGGGGTGCAAGCCAAGCACAGCCTCCCTCTCCCCTCCCCCTCCCTCCCCCAGGGACCCCGGAAGATTTTTTTTTTTTGTACCTGGGATTGAACCCAGAGTACTGAGCCACATCCCCAGCCCTTATTTATTTATTTTTAAATACTTTTTTAGTTGTAGATGGACACAATATCTTTATTTTTTGTGTGTGGTGTTGAGGATCAGTACCAGGGCCTCATGCATGGGAGGCAAGTGCTCTACCTCTGAGCCACAAGCTCAGCCCCTATTTATTTATTTATTGAAATACGGCCTTGCTAAATTGCTAAGGCTGGCCTTGAATTTGCATCCTCCTGCCTCAGCCTCCTGAGCTTTGGGATTACAGGCGTGCACCACCATGCCCAGCTAGCGTCAGTCATTTTAACAAAGGCCAGACTGTGAACAATCAGAGGGGGCTTTGCTTTGCATCAGGTGTGAGCTGCAGGGACCTAGCTGCTCCTGATGCCTGGTGAGTTTGCTGAGGCTGCTGTACCAGGGACCGCCATAGCCTGTACGGCCTCAGCCACAGCGTTGTGTGGCCTCAGAGTCCTGGGGGCTAGAAGTCAGAGATGAAGCGGTTGCCATGTTGGCTCCTCCTGGGAGCTGGGGAGGGTCTTTCCCATCCTGCCTCTCAAGGATCCCTGGCGATCCCGGCACCCCTGGCTGGCAGAAGCGCTGCCGAGCTCCACCTGCTCCCCGCCGGCTTCTCCTGGGGCTTTCTCTGTGTGTCGCTTCTGTGCCCAAATGCCCCCCTTTCCTAAATCCAGCGGTCACACTGGATTAGGGGTCTCCTACCTCAGTGCGACCTCATCTTAACTAATGATCTCTGCCAAAACCCTGTTTTCAAATGCAGACCCCCTGTCCTGGGGGTCAGGACCTGAGCATATGAATTTGGGGGGACACAGTGCAGTCGTAACAGGCACGCTCCATAAAGGAGTGTGAGGAGGGTGTGAAGGGGAAGGCTGTTCAGTGACCGGGCCACCGCCCCATGCCAAGTGGAGGTGTTCTGTCTGTGTGCCACATCCTGTCATACAGCTCCACGCCCTGGGGACCCTGCAGTTCTCAACCTTGGTGAGCCCCAGCATTCTGTGGAGCCTGCCAGACATGCACGTCCCGGGTCCTTCCTGGCTGGTTAGAAGAGGGCCCAGGAATGTGCACGTCTTGCTCGACCCCCAGGTGATTCTGATGGAGGTGGCCACAGGCCACACACTGAGAAACCCACGTAGGGAGGGGTGGTGGCAGGAAGGACGAGCACATGTGAACACAGGACAGGAAGCCTCAGGTCTACGCGGTGTTCAAGGAGAGGTGAGAGGACTCCTCTGCCTCTGTCTGTGCCCTTTCAGCACCACTGGTGACAAAGGTGGTTCAAGGGGAAGTGGTCATCCAGGTGGGTGTGTCTCCGGCATTTTTCTTCCATTAGGACTCCCTTTTCCTGAAGGTGACTTAAGCACAGGTTTGCCTGTGGTCACTTCCTGCCCTGTTTGGTAACTAAAGCCTCCTGAAGTGCAGCAGTCAGGCCCCAGGGACGTCCACGCCCCATTCAGGAAGGATGGGGTGGGCGTGGTTGCCCCCTAATCCCGTTGTGTGCAGCTGACTCCTGGCAGGGTCACATCTCTGCTTGCAAGGCAATGGAGAGAAATCCTCCAAGCACTGGGGGGCCAAGGGGCGTGCATTCTGGCTTCCGGTTCCCTAAGACAACAAGCGCCTCAAAAGAAGGCAGTCTTCAGGAGCAGGATGCTCTGGGCCCAACGGCTTAAACACCACTGTGGGACAGTGTCCAGGGCAGACTGCTGAGGTTTAGGAGAGCCTCTCCCTGCCTCCACCACCGGCTGTGGAGCTGGGTGTGGCAGGAGTGGGGTTGTCACAGGGTGGCCAGCACAGGACAATGCACTAAAGCCTTCCAGCCCGAGGACAGGGCTGTTGACTAGGTGTCCCCCTGGTGTCGAAGTGCCACACGTTCTGTGCACCACCCGTCGCAGCTCCCAGATGGCGGCTGGGCCACAGTCCTGAGTTCTGCTCTCAAAGGCTAAGCCAGGTCTGAGCTCTGGCTCACGTGCTGAGTCAGAAGACGGAAGAACCCGGGGCTGGGAGTGGGAGGCTGAGGAGCCCTGTCACTTGGCCCTCTGTGCAGCAGGTAGCACCTGGCTCCCAGCATGGGGTGGGCGCTACTCTCAGTCTGCTACTCACATCATCTTTGCCGCAAGGTGGGGCTGTTCCAATGTCACTGAGGAGGAGACCGAGTCACAGAGAAGCTCGTGACTTTCTCAAGCACACAGAGCTGGGGTTTGAAGCCAGGCAGCCTGGGCACAGAGCCACACTGCTGCCCACTGCTGGTGTATGATGCATGATGATGTGGTGTCGTGACCTGGCGGTGTTAGTCCCCCCCTCTGTCCCTCTCACACATGCCCCCTTGCCTTCTGCTGTGTTATGACGTGGCACTAGATGCCCACTCCATTCCCTTGGATTTTCTAGCCTCCAGAACTATAGAACAAATAGACTTCTGTGGTTTATAAATCACCCTGTCTCGGGTATTCTGTTAGAGTAGCAGAAAGCAGACTGAAGCGATGACTCCCTAGAATTCGCCTTGAGTGAAACTGGAGACTAGAAACAGAGGCCAGAGACCAAGAGGCTGCCGGAGACTTAGAACAACAAGACTCAACTCGGGATGGTGCTCTAAATGTGTTCATGTGCCCTGCCTTCCCTGCCCTGCTCACTCAGGGCTTCAGACAACCCCAGATAGTGACAGTTTCCTGCTGTCGGTTTCCTCAGCTGCCTCCTTCTCAGGATGTGGCCTCGGCCCCAAGACCTACGAAAGGCCGAAGGGGCCTGCTCATCCTGCAGGAAGCAGGGGTGGGAGCGTCCATCCTAGGAGCCGCTCAGCGGGGGTCTTGTGGACAGACGCAGCTCTTCCTTTGCGGGTGGGGATTCCGCCAGGACATACAGGAAGCCCCCCAGGGCTGCGACCGCCACGGCTGTGCTGTGGCAGGAGCAGCCATCTGCAGGAGAGGGGCCCTGGTGAGTGCTGGCCCTTTCTTCAACACGCCAGCATGAGCGCTGCCCACACGTCCCCCAGCCAGCTCGCCTGGCGCCCTGAGGAGGCTTGGTGCCCTGTCAGACCCGCCTTGCTGGGCTGGCACCCACCCATCCCCCTGCTGCGGACTGGGGGCTGCCAGTGGCCCTTGCAATGACGGGCCAGCTCATCTGGGAGTTGTGTCCCTCCCTCCCAGCTGACCTAAGAGTACAGGAAGTGAATTCTGGCTGCTCGTCTTGGGAGGACTCTCCGTTTGTGGGGGAACCTCCTTCTCAGCCAGGTGGGATCTGACCTGAGGCCCCACCCTGGTCCAGATCCCGCTCCAGGGAGACCTTTCTGGTTTGGGTACTGGGGACAGAACCCAGGGGTGCTATGCCACCCAGCCATGCCCCCAGCCCTTTTTAGTTTTTATTTTGTAACTGGCTAAATTGCTGGGGTGCCCCTGAACTCGCAACCTGTCCTCCTGCCTCAGCCTCCTGAGCCACTGGGAGCACACACTCCTGGGCCTTTCCTAGGCCGCTGGAAAGGCCTGGGGCTTTGGGATTTCTGTTGCTCTTTCTGGCCCTCAGGACAGTGCCACAGTCAGGCTGTCAGTCTCTGGGGACAAGCAGCTATTTGGGGAGGGACCACAGCCCCCTGCTAGCCTGGACACAGGCAGCCCCAGTGTCCTCTGTCAGGCAGGCCTGGCCAGGGAACCTCTCTCTTCCTGTGCGACTTTGATGGTGGCCACAAAATGGGCTCTTTGGGTTTGCGTCTCGCTTCCCCCCTTGGCTACCTGTGGGCAGATGCGGAGGCCGCGTCAGGGCTGATGGACAGGCATTTGGTGGCTGGAATCCTTTACCAGGGTCCACTGGAGGCCTAGCTGGGGCTGACTAGTCCACCTCCCCCTCTGGATTTGCCTCGCAAACTTTGCAGTTTTTATTCCTACCCCTCTTTCCTCTACGGTTTTCCTTGTCTTCTCCCCGAGCACATTCTGCTCAGTCTCCACACTGCTGGGCCACCCTACGATCTCATCACAGCAGCACACTGGTGGGAGAGGGGCACTGTTCCTCACAGCCGGGACAACAGGCGTAACTTGGGGCAGCTCTGGGGTCGCCAGGCTCCAGGGCCACCAGGCCTGCCCAGCCCCTTGGCCACTGGCCCTCAGGCCCTCTGTGCCTTTCCTTGCTCAACCCCAGCACACAGAACCCCTCTGTTGAGGTGGCTGATGCAGTTCTAGTCTCCTGCGCAGACCTGACCAAGTGGGGAACTTCTGTGGTCTTCAACAGGCCGTGAATGCCCCTCACGTTCTTCTAACTGCACACAGTATCTCTGGACCCCCACTTCCTGAGAGGAGACGATGAGAGATGCCCACCCTTCCCTTTGCCTCCCAGACACGGAGGCCTGGCGCCCAGGGCCTCAGTGTGCAGGGGCCTTTTCCCACCGAGGGCACCTGTGCCAGAGGAGAACGAACGTCTGCCTCGTCTTTCTAGGGTGCCCTGTCTTCACGCCAAGGCCTGTGGGTGCTTCGTTACCTATGAATTGCTTCTCTCTCCTCTTCACTCTTAGAACATGCGGGCGGTGTGGAGGGGCCGTGGGGGGGTCCTCCTCCTTGGCAGCTGGAGAAGAGACACAGTTTTAAACATTACTTAATAAACTTCATCCCCTCTTAACAACGCAAGCTGTTCAGATCTTCTCTGGAATTCTGAGGCTATGCTAGAAGCTTCTTCCTGCACCTGTCTGCAGATCCTTTCATGTGGCCTCGACTGATGATTTCTCGAACTGTAATTCCCAACCCGTTCCCAGGGAACCATGGACGTGCTTATGAAAAACACAAGTTCCTGCCCCAACCTGCTCCCTGTGGAGGTCTGGGGCGTGGGGACTTCTCAGTCCATCAACTCCGTCCTAAAAACCACATCCCCTTAATTCAAAAGTGTTTGCTTCTTTGAGGATCCCAAGCTTCTCAGGAGGACACCAGCATTTCCTGGGAGCCTCAGTGTGGGTCCTGTCTGTCCTTTCACACTTGGGAAGGTGGCTGATTATCGCATTTATTTACAGAGGAAGAAGTTTGGGCCTAGAGCAAAATGACCTACTCCAAAGGCCGAGGGGCTGGCAGGGGCCACCTACAGCCTGAGCCCTGGGCCGCTCAGCTCTGAGGTGCGCCGCCTCCTCCCAGGAGCTTCCCCTGCCCCCGCTGCCCACAGAACCTTCCCGGGTTCCTCTCTTTCCTCACCCTCTCGAGAACTGGTCACTGCTTCACTTACTGGATGCTTAGGAGGTTTCTGCCTCTTTCCCTCAGGCCTCAACGTCCCCCGGAGCCCAGGGTGGGGCACACGAGCAGGTGCTCAGTAAGCACTGGTTACCTGGTTGACTTTGCTGATGCCACAAAACCCTCAGGCCCTCTGTGCCTTTCCTTGCTCAACCCCAGCACACAGAACCCCCTCTGTTGAGGTGGCTGATGCAGTTCTAGTCTCCTGAGCAGACCCGACCAAGTGGGGTACGCCTCACAACCTGCAAAATTTTCGCTTCCAAAGCTCCAAGCCCATTTCTGCCTGTGTGTGAGCCCACGCCTGCACAGGCATGCCACGACCTCTCCGGTGCCCCAACACCAACACGTCCTTTCCCACCTGAGACGCAGCTCACCAGGCTTCCCGAAGCATCCCTCCCAAGGCCTCTGCCAGCTGAGAATGGCCTCCAGCCACCGGAGCTTGTAGAAGTCAGAGAAGCCGCTGATTCCACAGAGCATGACTGGAAGCGAACAGGGGGCCCTCTGCAGGCCTGTCCCCCAGGCCAGCTCCTTCCCCTCTCCAGGGCCACCACAGGGGAGGAAGAGCAGGAGGTATGCAGGCCACACGGGGCGGGAAGGAGGCAGCCAGAGACCCCCCTGGAGGGGCTCCCAGGCCCGTGTCCTGCTCCACTTAGGGTCTTGATCACAGGGAGGGAGTTGGACAACTAAGCCAACGAGTGGCCACCCAGGGGCTCCTCTCTGCCTCATCTCTAGGCTTTGGGGTCTGTTTTCTTTTTTTTCTTTTCTCTCTCCCCCCTCCCTCCCCATCTCTTTTTTATTTTACTGGGATTGAACCCAGGGGAGCTTTACCTGTGGAATACATCCCCAGCCCTTTCCCTTTTTTTTATTTTGAGACAGGGTTTCACTAGTTTGCTTACTGCCTTGCTAAATTGCTGAGGTTGACCTGAAAAGTAATCTTCCTGCCTCAGTCTCCTGAGTCACTGGGATTACATAGTGAGCTCTGTCACTGGGACAGCTCTTGGGGGAAGGAAGTGGTCACGCAGTGAGATAAGATGTTCAGCTACATCTGAGTTTCCGATAAACAATGAACACATTTTTAGTATAAGTATATCCCATGTGATATTTAGGATATACTTATACCAAAGTTTTATCCACTGCTTATTTGAAGTGCATATTTAACTGGGCACTTTGTATTTTTATTTGTTTAACTTGGCAATCCTACTCGTGTGTGTGTGTGTGTGTGTGAGAGAGAGAGAGAGGGAGAGAGAGAGAGAGAGAGAGAGAACATGTGTGTATGTGTGAGTCTGACCACTGTGTGTGTGTGTGTGTGTGTGAGAGAGAGAGAGAGAGAGAGAGAGAGAGAGAACGTGTGTATGTGTGAGTCTGACCACTGTGTGTGTGTGTGTGTGTGTGTGAGAGAGAGAGAGAGAGAGAGAGAGAGAGAGAGAGAACATGTGTGTATGTGTGAGTCTGACCACTGTGTGTGTGTGTGAGAGAGAGAGAGAGAAAGAGAGAGAGAACATGTGTGTATGTGTGAGTCTGACCACTGTGTGTGTGTGTGTGTGTGTGTGTGTGTGTGTGTGAGAGAGAGAGAGAGAGAGAGAGAGAGAGAGAGAGAGAGAGAACATGTGTGTATGTGTGAGTCTGACCACTCATGAACACCCTGCTTTATCCTGAGGGCAGAAGGCCAGCGCACTGTTTTCCATGAAGAGGTCCCTGGTTGGGTAGGCGTATCCGATGGCCTCAGCTCTCCGGGTCAGCTCCATCATGTTGGCACAGAAGACACTGATGTAGTGCTGACTCTGGTGGAACAGTCCTTCTGTGCATCCTTGCTGGGGACAAACACCAGGGACAGGGAACACACACACACTCAACTCGCAGTTCTGAGATGGTCTTGGGGGCTGTGTCTGGGCCAGGACTTCTCCTTCCACCACTTTTCTCCTTCTCCACCCACTCTCTCAGCCTGCTCCATCACTGAGGCCTGAAAGCGCTGGGCTGGGGCCTGGCTCTGCCCTAAGGTCATCAGAAAGGAAGAGGTCACTAGGAACGGCACTAGAGGGTCTCTGGCTTGGGTGGACAACACCCCAGAAGGCACTCTGCAAACGCTCCCTTGTGGTGCAATCAGGGACTAACCCCTAGGGCAGCTTCAGGGCTACTCAAATATGGGCCCTGGACCTGGCTGATGATTCTCCAGCACAGGAAGAGAAGAACAGGAATTGAGAACAGGCTTTAGAACCTTCTGTTGCAATGGTGAGACTAACTTTTTACCTGTTGAATCTAATAACATTGATCTGCAGCAGCTTGCAAAGAAATGTTAATTTAAAAAATCCCCATCAAACCAAGGACTACTGGGCACTAACATTTTCGGAATGAAGATCATGAGCTCTAATTTTCCACATCAATGTGTGCTGAACCCAGGGGTCACACATATTAAGCACACAGCCTACTACTGAATCGTGACCCCAGGCCCTTAAAGAAACATTTTTTTTTAGCATTTTTATCATTATTATGATTATAATTCTGAGGTTTGGAAGGATGTTGGGTGTGGAAGAGGTGGAGCTGGATGTCCCTTCTCCCAGGTTTCAGTCCTCAGGACCCCAAGGACAGGAGCCCCCCCAGACCTAGAACACGTCTGCCTAGCTCCATGACCATAGGGGCTGCTGTGCATCCCGGAGGCCCAAGACACCAGGGGAGCTGCTGGGGTTGCTGGGCACCTTCCCCCCGCCCAAGCCTTGGGTTACACTCTTTAAAACCCGCTCTCCTTTCCTCCAAGTTCAAGTGTTTTGAAAAACAGGCTAAAACAAACAAACGAATATAAAAGCCTTAGCCTCGTTGGTGTTTCAAGTTGTTCCCTAGCGTCATTTTACCATAGAATTGTCAAGGAATTTCCAGGGTGGGGCATACCAGAACCACAGCAAGGCCACCTTGGGCTTTGACTCCTCCCTTCCCTCCTCTCCCGGCTCCCTCTCCCTGCTGGCCCTGGTGAAGGACACCTGCTGCCACTCACCAGGGGCCTGGCTTGGTCTCTCCTCTTCCACTCATTTGTCCTTTGCAGGGTTCCTCCCCGCCTCCTCTATTTTATTCTCTCTCTCTCTGTTTTTCTGAGGTCCTGAGATCCAGCTCAGCATGCAAGGCTGTCTCTCTGTCAGGCCAGCAGAGCCCCCAGTCCATCCCCACCCATCACCATCTAATCGGCTCAGCGATGGAGCCGAAGGTGGCAGCTGACTCTCACCTCTCCCTCCTGAGGGCTCAGGCACAAATCCAAAAAGCCACTTAATTTCCTGGCATGTGGCAGACACACTACCTGCCGTGAGCCCTTCTTGTCTTCCCCCCGTTCCCCCTGACCCTCACCATTCTGGCCCAGAGGAAGAAGAGCAGCTGGTGGGACAGCCTGTAGCCTGAGCAGTTGGGCTGGGTCATGAGTGTCCTGCAGAAGTCTGGGATCCTGCAGGGCTGGCTGCTGTTCCTGGGGAGTGCAGTTGCGTCTGTTAAGGGTGGTGCTCCACTGCCACCAGGTCTGCCCTGGCCGATCCCCCCACCTATTGTATGAGCCTTAGTAGGCTCCAGGCTGGGCACAGCGGGTGCCAAATAAAATACAGGTGTGCAGTGTCTTGGTCTCCTAAATCTGTACCTCTACCTCAGGGAACAGCATGTTGGAGCTGTCTTGAGTTTGGGAAGCCACCAAGGCCTGAGACTTCTATGACTCTGTGGAGTCCTCAAATGACATCTTTCCCATCATGGCCCTAAACAACGGACTCTCGGATCTAGGCAGCCTGGGAGTCTGGGCCCCAAATGCTCCTGCACCCTATGACAAACCTGCCTCATAAAGACAGGTAGCAGGCGTGGGACTCTCACCAGAGCACTGCTCCTGGGTGGACCCAGCTGTGGCCTGTCCCAAACCCCTCTCTGAAGGATGCTGAGAGGAGGGGGACACTCGCTGCCCATTCTGCTCTGCGACCCTGCACTGGAGGGAGTGCTGCCCTAAGTCCACCTTACAGCAGAATAAAATGGCTAGTGAGCTAAGGCTCAGCCCTGCCTTCCCAGACCCGCAGACCCGCAGACCCGCAGCCCCTCGGGGAGACAGGACTGTAAAACACCTACAGAGGTTCTGGGAGCCCGCAGCCCAGGTACGAAGTGTGCAGTGTGCAGGGGCAGGGTGGGCCCTGAGGACAGGTCTGAGTGAGGGGGCGCACAGCAGTTGGAGCAAAAGCTTTGCAGTGGAGTGGATGGTGCCTTTGAGAGCCTGCAAAGAGGACTCTGAGGTTGGATCCTAGGGGACTGGGACCTGGCAGGGCGGTAGGAGCTGCTGGATGCTTTGTCCTGGAGCAGTGGGACTCAGGGAAACTTCAGGCTGGGGAAGGAGTCCCCAGGCATTGTGGGGCTGACTCTTGGATGAGCTGTGTGTGTTTTTGCATAAATTCCCTGGATGCAGCCTGGGGGTGTCGGGAGTGAGTGAAATTTTCATCCAGCGGGGTCCTCGGGCACCCACCCGGTTCCCAGCAGCTGCACCAGGCATGCGTCGCTGCTTTCCTCTGAGAACGAGTCCTCGGGCTCCAGCACGGGGTAGACCAGCGAGGTGTTGGTGTGCGTCCAGGTGCAGGGCAGCTTCCAAAATCCGGGCTGGAGACTCGGCAGGAACTCTGGCAGACAGGAGAGGTGGGAGGTGTGAGCCACCAGAGCGCTGCCACCTGGGCCACCCAGACCACCGCAGGGGGACCTGGGTAGCCCCAGGCACTGCCCGTAGTAGCTGCCAGTTCAGCTCTGAGCCCGCCTTCTGCTCCACCAGTGTTTGAATCCCCCAGAAGCTCCTGGGTGGACTCAGCTATGATCTGGCCCAAATCTCTTTTTAAACAAAACACACACACACACCACACACATACCACACACTACACACACAATCACTCCCATACAGACACACAAAACCCCCAGGACATTTTTTCCCTAAACAATGGGTGCAGTGTTGGGATAGGCTTTGATTGACACCAGGGCATCCCTCTGCAGCTTAGACACACTGAAAGTGCTGGCAGACTCCTTGGATCCCATCACACAGTGGAGCTCTTATAACACAGGTGGCAGCCCGGGTCGTCTTTAGGAAGACAGGCTGGGCTGGCGTTAGGACCCAGATCTCCCATCTCGCTTTCTTCATCTGTAATGTGGCGACAGCTCTTATTTCTGAGGGGTGTGTGCATAAGGATTAAAAGAGGATGGAGAACTCAGCTGCAGAGGGGCCAGGAAGGCTAGGTCTCCTGCAGCTGGCTGGGCTGCCCTACAGAATGGGGAGCGCAGTGGCGCATGACCCCCATCACCCTGGCAAGTGAGAGTGAGGAAGGGGGCCCCTGGAAAGGAACTGGTTTTACAAGTGCCCCGCCCCCAACAAACAACTTCTTTTTTGGGTTCTGGGGATTGAATCTAAGGACACTTTTACTACTGAGCTACATCCCAGCCTTTTTAATTTTTTTTTGTTTGGAGACAGGGTCTTGGTAAGTTGCTTAGGGACTCAGTAAGTTGCTGAAGCTAGCCCTGAAGTTTTGACCCTCCTGCCTCAGTCTCCCAAGCGGCTGGGATTGCAGGAGTGCCCCACTGTGCTCAGTCCCTAGTTAAGACATAAGAAAGCATAGAACTGGTGCATGCAGATCCGACTGCTGCCCCTTGCAGCAGACCTAACATAATTTTAGACACATTTTTGACTGTGTGCCAACTGATGCAGCTGCAAGGAGAGATGGCACATAGTTTATGGGAACATTAACTTCTAGCCCCAAGACTTTGATCCTGACCTTGCTTCTCTGCCTATGGGGCAGCCACCCTGCTGTATGAACTGATGCAAGAAGTCATTCTTACCTTCTCTTTGTTAGCCGTGTTTGGCTTCTATCCTGTCTGAGCTAAGGATCCACTGATCTGGAGACAGAACAACTGAGGCCAGGCTCTAGGATAGGTCCCTCTGTAAGGGCCCTCAAGCCTGGTGAGGACAGCACTTGGCATTAGGAGGCAGAAGACCTTGTTGTGTGGCTGGCACAGCACTAAGGTTTCAGGGGCAAAGGAGCACCCTCCCTTTTAGAAATTGCACCCGGGGAACAGTCCAGACCAGACCTCCCCTCTGGTGCAGGATGAAGGGCCCATGCCTGGGCCTGTGCTGACCCTGCCTATGTCCTGCCTGTCTGTGTGGGTGGGAGAAGGCCCTGGACCCTGGATCCCTGTCAGGGGTGACTGGGACACTCCCAGCTCTGCCTGCAGTTTGCTGGGCAAAAAGGGGCAGTCCCCACCAGGAGGAGCCCGCCCAGGGGTATTGAAGCAAACACCCCAGCACCGCCTTCCTGACGCACTGGGCCCGCTCCGCTGTTACCTCTAAGGTATCTGGGGTCACTCAGCTCCAGGTAGAAGACGGATCTGCGCAGGAGAGCCGCCAGCTTGTCCGCCAGCCGCCTGGTGCGCAGGCTCAGGGGCCGCAGCCGGGGGTCGGCTGCCCACTCTTCCTGCACACCCCGAAGCTGCGCTGCCAGGGAGAAGAGGGGAGAAGAGGCGTGGGCGGCGCTAATGCTGGCCGCTGGCCGTGAATCCCTCTGCCTTGGGCGCTTAGAGGCTATGGCAGGGCCAGTATTGGCCATGGATCTGAGTGATGGGTAGGGCTCCAAGGGATAGAAGGTTGTTTCAGACAAGAGCCTGGTCTCTGAGGCAGTGCCCCACTGTCTCAAGGTTCAAGTCCTGATTGAACGTTTTTGCATCGGGTGACCAGAAATAGTCATTTGATTTCTCTCTGCTTCGCTTTTCTCATTTGTGAAATGGGGACAGTGACGGTTATTACTTCTTGGGGAGAAGTGTTAAGAATTAAATGATCTAATGTGTAGCGAGGATGTAGCACTACCCACCTGCAAAGTAAGCACTTAATAAAATTTAGCCATTGGTATTAACTAAGGAACTTGGGTCTGCTGCCTACCGGGAAACCAGGGAGGGCTCAGGACTGGTGGGGCAGCTGAGGGACCCTTTGCTTTTAGGTCAGTGTGGGCTCCTTTACCACCTAAGACATGTTCGTGGTCCCTAAACGTTCTGTTCAGGTCCTGCACCTCCTGTGCTTGCTGCGGAAGCCAGCCCTGGGGGTCAATTCATTGATTTCTACAGGAGTTTGAGACAGGGCTGGGGTCAGATGAAGGAGTCCCTGGGTATGTCTCTTTCCTGGCTTGGAGGGGAGGGGACAGGGTCTTGGGTCTCCTCAGGGTCCTACCTAGAGGAGCAGGGGTGGGCTGTGAGGAGGCGCACTGCCCGGGCTGCACCTCCTGCCTGGGTCTGGTGGGCAGAGAGCTGCACCCTTAAACAGAGGAGACTGACTGGGGGTGCCTCCCCCCAGCCTTGGCTGCCGCCAAGCCCGGGCTCTTTGTTGCTTTGGTCGGGGTGGCCTGCAGGGAGGAGCTCGCTGCAGTGGATATGTGTGTCCCTGCTGGCCCTGGCCTGTCTCCAGCCCTCTCCTTAAGGATTTTATATCTCGAAACTGAACAAACACTTGGCTGTTTTCCCAGGACCTTCAGGTGGCTTTGGCTGGAAGTGGAGGAAGCTGAGAGGAAACCTGAGAGAGTTCCTGCTTAGCCTCATGCAGGGGAGTGGCCTTCTTGGTAAAAGGGCTTTCTCTGCACGCCCCCGCCCCCGCCCTGTGTTCGCGGTATGGCAGGAAGAGCGGTCAAATGGATCATTTCCTTCTGAGAATATAATTTCCAAATCTTTGCTCATGTTGCCTTTAAATCCTTCCTCCTTCCCAAAGACTCGACAACAGCGGGCTGAGCCCCAAAACCAAGAAAAGCAGCTCCTACCCCTCCCCTTTCTTTATAGCCACAGCAGGCTATTCCCATGCCAGGTGGTCACCAGGTCCTAGGGGTCAGAGCAAGGCAGGTGACAAGGAGAACTGGTTTCCCAGTGACCATCCTGGGGAATGGGGCTCACGCACCTTCTAGCACCCGGAACCCCACCACACCGTCTAGGTTGACTCCAGGTAGCCTCTCCTCCAGGAACAAGGTGGCTCTCTCCAGTGCAGACAGGATCAGGCCCACGATGGTGACCTTGCCCTCTGTGGTGTCCGGCCTGGGCAGTGGGGAGGGCTGTAGTGGCCGCAGAGCCAGGAGCAGGAGCAGCAGCCCTGGCCTCGCCATGACTGGCCTTCTGCGTGTAGCCGGTCACACCTGTGGCACTCTCACCCAGGTACCTCTGCACGCCTTCCTCCGCCTCCAGCTCCACCGCCTTCCCCAGCAGACCCGTGGACAAGTGGCCGGGCGGGACTGATCTGCAGCTTGGGTGGCCTGGGCACAGGGCTCTGGGCAGGAGGCAGCAGGAGACAGATGGTGGGGGTGGGGGGCAAACCTTATGTGGAGCCCCCTGGCTGTCCCCTGGGGAGAGGAGCCCTTCTGGTTCTTCTTGCACCTGAGCCTCCAGCCCACACGCTAGGTCCTTGATTGAGCAATGGCAATAGCAACTCAGAAATCAAAAGCCCTGCAAGGCAGAATTTGTTTGTTTTAAAAAGTTTGGAATGAGTTAGTGGGAGGGCACATCCGGCTCTGAAAGCTCCCTCATGGGGGCACTGTTTGAGGAAAGTAGAATTCCAGCTGCAAAGGCGAGCCACGTGGGCACTTCAAAATGTTGTCATAGCCACGTTAGAACAGCAAAATGCAGGTAAATCCACGCTCTACCTCGTTTGAGTCAATCATTCTAGTATATTGTTATTTCAACATGTAGTCAATATAAAAATGGCTGACATCATTTTTCTTGTACTGAATATTTGCAATCTGGTATTTACACTCACATTCCAATTCCACCTCTGCTGAGTCCTGAGCTGAGCTCTGGGGACACGGGAACCACATCAGCACAAGCCATCTTGTCCAGGGGCTACTGCCGACATTCAAAGGTGCTGTCCGTTGGACTGGAGGGAGGGTGGCTTCACCAGTGTGTTCTCGGTGTTTCTCAGCAAGAGGACAGTTTTCTGAGTAATAAGGCTATCACATGGACACGATAAACTACTGTGGTTACTTTGGGAGGTGAAATTGAAGGGCCAACAGGGAAATTTCCCTTCTTCCTAGGGATACTTAAAAATCATTATGGCTTTTACCGCCTTTATATACTTACCTCTCTCTCTCTCTCTCTCTCTCTTTATATTTGAAAGGTTTTCTTCAAATACTACATACATCCTGACAAATAAAGAGACACATTTTCTGCTGGATGAGTTTCCCCAGATGGAGCTGCTTTGGCTCACTCTCCTGACTTCTAACAGCAAAGACTGATTGGTGTGAGAGCACCCTGCACTATGTACTTTCAGCACTTGGTTCCTTTCTCATTATCACCTTATGAGATTCCTGCAAGTTCTTGTCTCATTTACCCCCTCCACTACTGGATTGGACCCAGGAGTGCTCTACCACTGAGCTTCATCCCTAGCCCCCCCCCCTTTTTTTAATAGCCCTTTTTAAAAAAAAAATTCAAGACAGGGCCTCGCTAAGTTGCTGAGGCTGCCCTCGAACTTGCCATTCTCCTGCCTCAGCTTCCCCGTGGCTGAGATTATAAATGTGCATCACCTCGCTTGGCTTCTAACTGTAGTTTGAAATTATCCTAGAACGCTGAAGAAAAGTTCCTAGAGCCCCATAAGGAAAGATTTACTTTGATAGGAGAAATACAGAGTTCGGGAACCGCGCAGGTGTGTACGCGCCATTAACTCTTGGCCCCCAGGGGCTTCTTGGCAGTTCCCCGGGACCCACTTAGGGACCACCTCCCCTCCCCGCCCCTCCTCTCTTCGCCTCCCGCCTCCCGGGAGCGAGCCTCGGACGGCGCCTGCGCAAAGCGTGCCTGGGGGCTCCGTCACATGACCGCTGCCTAGCGGCCAAGATGGCGCCGCCCAGCGTGGCTCTCCTGGCGCTGTGCCTGCTGCTGCCGCTGCTGCTTCTGGGCGGGTGGAAGCGCTGGCGGCGGGGGCGCGCGGCCCAGCACGTGGTCATTGTGGTGCTGGGCGACGTGGGCCGCAGCCCCCGCATGCAGTACCACGCGCTGTCCTTGGCCAAGCGCGGCTTCTCGGTGACCCTCTTGGGGTTCTGCAGTGAGTGTCCGGGGGCCTGGGAGGGAGGCTGGTCTCCCAGTCTGTCCCCTCGGCCCCGAGCGCCCTGGGGGGCCGAGGTGGGAGCGGCGCTTCTGTCACTGCTCCCTTGGGTAGTCCTCAGACTGGAGGAGTCCGGTTCCTGGTTGCCATATGTTGTGACTGTGGTAAGCGACTCCGTCGCAGGGTCTGATTCTTCTAGTGAAGTGGAAAGACTGGAACTGGACTGCGGTTTCTGTGACATCTGCGTGCAGCTGTCCTGGTCCAGCTGTGTGCAGGCGGAGGTGTCTGCACCTTCACTATGCTCCTTGTGGACGATTCTAGAGGTTGACTTCACCCCATCTCACGGAACAGTGGAAACAGCACCACTGCTTTAGGTCCCTGTGTGAAAGTGCGGGTGGAGTGGACTTCCTTGACATGTCTCTGCGGTGGGAAGATTCCCCCAACCCCAAGCCTAGATCAGTTTAATTGAGTACTTACTATGTGCCAGGCATCATATTAAGTAAAGGTGGGTAAGATTTGGGACTTCCCACTGGCCATTCTAGTGGACCGGATTTGGCCCCATTCTCTGGCTACTGAGGAACAGAGAAGGGTTTTGAAAAGGTCTTTTTCCAAAACCTGACTTTAAATTAGATTGCTTCATCCAGTAAAGGGGACATTCTCTTTCAGATTCCAGACCCCACCATGAGCTCTTGCAGAGCGACAGAATACAGATTGTGAAGTTGATGGAACTTCAGAGTCCCGCAGGTAGGGTGCTGTCACCTCCAGGTTGCGTTACATTGGTCGGGGTTGGGTGTGGGGAACCTGCAGATGGCCAGGAGCTCCTTCAGTAGTGATTTTTTTTTTTTTTTTTGGACTTACAGTTGGGCCCCCAGTTCTGCGGTATGGAGTCAAAGTTGTTTTTCAGACAGTGTACTTGCTGTGGAAGTTGATGTGGAGGGAACCAGCAGCCTATATATTTCTTCAGGTGTGTGTCAGCGCTTGCCTCCCTCTGTGAGAACAACTGTTAACAGATTACTTTCTACCCTTTTAAAAACGCACAAATTGGGCTGGCATTATAGCTCAGTGGTAGGGTGCATGCTAAGCATTGGCAAGATGCTGGTTTGATTCCCAGCACCAAACATAAAAAATATGCACTAATTGTTAAAGTGCACATTTATGTGGGCACAAACATTATAAAACCATGGGCAGGACCCTGTAAATAGGCTTCTATAGCATGTGTCTGTTATTTCTGGTATCCGTCCATGCTATTTTTCTGGTCACAACAGAGTCTTACATTGCATTTCGTACTTATCTAAGTGTTTCACTAGGGTTCTGTCTCCTTTAATCCTCTCAAGAACCCTAAGAAGTGGATTCTGGTATCACGTACATAATGATGAGGAAACTTAAAATTTCTGTAAGTAGCCCACTGTCACACAGATAGGAAGTAATAGAGTCAGGACTTGAACAGAGGTGGTCAGTTTGGTTCTAGAGTTAAACTTTTAACTTCTTCCCTTTACCAGTTTTTAAAGTCCAGAAGTACCTTCTGTTAGTGGGCTGCACTCACTTCCAATATGTGATGAACCGCAAGCTATTTAGTTTCATCTTGAGGGACATCTGGATCCTTCCTGATTTTTTTGCCTGAACACATAGTATGGCTAGAGCACAGTGAGCACGCGTCTGTGACTGGGCCTTAGAATACATTGCTGGCAGTGGAATTGCTTGTTCAAAGTTGATGTGCTTGTAAGATGCTGTGGTATGATCCTGGCTGGGTCCCCACTGATGGGGGACCCCCCCCCCCCACTGTGTTTACCATCACCCACCGATGTTGCACTTCCTCAGAGTTTGCATTCTGACAGGAAAATGGTATTTCTTTGAGAAGCTTGGAGTTTTTCTAGTCTGCAGTTCTGTTCCATTGGTGGTAGAGAGCTGCTCATTTGTTATCAAGAATTCTGAAGATCACTGACGCTCTGCCATGAATGTCTGGGTTTCCTTCTCTTTGTCTGCTTCTCTTTCCTAGAACCCCCCAGGCCTGCCAAGCATTGCCGTCTGCTGGTTTGTGGGCTGCCTTTGTGGGAGCAAACTGGTCATCGATTGGCACAACTATGGCTACTCCATCATGGGCCTGGTGCATGGCCCTAAGCACCCTCTTGTTCTGCTGGCCAAGTGGTGAGAGTCTGGGTGAGGTGTGAATGCTTTCCCCAAACTCCATCAGGGTGGGCGGGACGAAGGCGGGGGAGCAGGTTGGACCTGGAGCAGGGAGAATCCTTGTCCTACGCTGAGCCCCGCTGTAATGTCCACTTTGGTGTGTTTTTCCAGCCTCGGGGGCCTTGTTTATCGCCAGTGGTGAAAGCAGCTATGGCAGCTCTAATAATCACTGCTGTGTGCCAGGCCTCGGGCTGGGCCTTTTATGCACTTTATTCCATTTGGTTTCCACCACATCGCAGTAGAGGTGCCTGGTGGTCATTGTCCTTTTACAAGTCAGGGAGGCTGGGCTGTAAATGATGATGCCTTCTTGTCAGGCAGTCCCACTCCAGAGCTTTCTCTGGTGGTGCTCAGTAATCCTAAATTGCTGCTCCTCTTTCCAGCTCTCTCCTGTGACTAGGGCTTCCATCTTGGTTTGCGGTCCGCATGTTTTTCATGCCTAGCATTTGCTAAACTCCTTTGTACACTCAGAGAGCAAGCTGCAGCCTTGCAGCAGTAGCACGGGGTGGTGAGATGCAGCCTTTTTATTTCTGCTTTTTTGCCCAAGATACTGGATCTCCACTCCTGTAGGGGTATGTGGCTTCCTTTAAAGTGATTGCATTAAGCTGCACAGTGACAGCACTTAGGAAGATGTGACGATGAGAGGGCATGAGGAGCTCAGGGGGTGCAAACCTGTGGGTTTGTGAGCCCCTAGCTCTGCAGCCTCTTCTCTGTGAGGGTGTCAGGTCGTGTGGACACTGGCATCTGGGCCCAGCCCAGGGCTGTCTGTTAGCTCCCTGACCCCCATACGTCCCTGCAGGTATGAGAGGCTCTTTGGGCGCCTGTCCCACCTGAACCTGTGTGTGACCAATGCAATGCGGGAAGACCTGGCTGAGAACTGGCACATCAAGTACGAAGGGCCTGGGACACCTTTCAGCCTGTGGGTGGTGCCGGGTCCCAGGAAAGGCCAAAAGCTTCAGTGTCTACCGTATCATGTTGGAAAGGCATTTTGAAGTACCCTGGGCCTTGGAGATAGTTGCTGGTTTGGGGAGCTAAGTGGGGTGTGGTGTCTGAAGAATCCCTGGAAGTTCTGGTGTCAGAACGTCTGTTTCCCAAGGAATTCTAAAGCTTTTGTCATAGAGACCTGGATTCCCGAAGTGCCCTTGTTTTTCTGGATCCTTTTGGGTTCTCTGTTCCTTAGCCTTTCTCTGCCCTGCCCCTTCCTCTCCTTGCAGGGCTGTGACTGTCTACGACAAGCCGGCTTCGTTCTTTAAGGAGACTCCGCTGGACCTGCAACACGAGCTCTTCATGAGGCTGGGCTGCACATACTCTCCGTTCAGGGCCTGGTGTGTCTGTCCTGCTGCCTTCTCCGACGCTTTCTGCTGCCCTGGCCCTTCCATCCGCTCCTGCAGACCTGATCCAGGGGTGGGGATGGAGGCAGAGACCTGCTGCCTGTTTCTGTGAACTGAGTCTGACTGGCATTGTCTGTGGCTGTGGTGAGCCACGCAGCAGAACGGGTTTCGCCACCAGGAGTCTGGGGCCCACAAAGCCTGAAGAATCCAGCCTCTGGCTCCTTAGGAGATATCTACTACCTTCCCCTCCTGCCAGTGGGTTCCTGGGCCTGTGAGGGGTCTGTGGACCTCTGTGTCTTCTGGGTGTCCCTCAGGGCTAAGGAGGGGACCCGTGTAGTTCTCAACATGTCCTGTCTGTGCTCTTCAGTAACTGGGGGTGGCATCTGGGGGTGGCATAGTGTCCTTGTAATGGTGAGGAAGGGTGGAGCAGTGAGCCCAGGGGCAAGCACTGGTGGCTTGTTTTGTGGCACCTAGCTGCCAGCAGTGGTTCTGTAGGGTCACCTGGATGCCAGCCTTTGGGGGCCTGTGGTCCTTGCTGTGAGGGAGTGGCTGTCCTGACCCCTGGCCTTCCCTGCAGCGACTCACTGCCTTTTCTCTGCTCCTGCAGCTCAGAACCCTCGGGCCCTGCCATAGAGAGGTCGGCCTTCACGGAGAAGGATGCTCGCACTGGGGTGGTGACACGTCTTTGCAGGCGGCCGGCACTGCTGGTCAGCAGCACGAGCTGGACAGGTCTGTCTGACCTGGCCTGTGTTCTGGCCCACCACGGGAGGGGGGTGTCTGGAGACAGGCCTGACACCTGATCTGTTGTCTTTGCAGAGGATGAGGACTTCTCCATCCTGCTGGCAGCATTGGAAGGTAGGTGCCGCTGCATCAGCAGCTCTGGGCTTGTTGGGGCAGGGGCCGTGCAGCTGGCTGGGCATGGCAGGTCTGCAGCCTGCTTCTGCCCCAAGGACCACAGGGTGGACCTGCTTGCGGACAGTAGGAAGGGGGATGTGGGCAGCTCTGTGGCCTCCCTGAGGGAGCAGCCCCTCCCCCCTCCCCACCCCTCCCCCCCACTCATGTGAAAGGACACCAGTTCATGTTTCTTCTATTTTTAAAATAGAGTTTGAACAGCGGGCATCTGACGGAGACAGCCTTCCTTCTGTAGTCTGTGTGATAACAGGTACCACCTGGGACCCTCGGACCCTGGACTCCACTTGCAGCCCCAGGCCAGCTGGCCCCAAGCCAGGGCTGGGTCTTGGTGATGAGGGCACATGCCCCGTGGGGACTCAGGGTGCTGAGGTCAGCTCTGGAAGAGGTCTGGGGCCCTGACTGGGGCTGCTGAGGGGTGCAGCTTCCTGGAACTGGCTGCCGAGTCCCAGTGGGAACCTCTGGGGCTAATGGTGTGGCAGGGACCAAAATGGGTCCAGTGCCATGGGTGTCCTCTGCAGGCAAAGGGCCGCTGAAGGAGCACTACAGCCGCCTCATTGGCCAGAAGCAGTTCCAGCACATCAAGGTGTGCATGCCGTGGCTGGAGGCCGAGGACTACCCGTTGCTTCTAGGTGAGAGCTGAGGGCAACAGAGGGGCTCCAGAAGATGACCCAGGCTTCTTCTAAAAAGGGACACTGAAGATTTTAGTTGCTTCTGTGGCATAGTCTTTTTTTTTTTCTTTGAAACAACTTAAGAAATGTAAAAGCCATTCCCAGCTCAGAGGCTCTAATATCGACAGGCCTCAGGCTGGACTGGGTGGCCACAAGGGACTCCAGCCGAGCTCCTGAGATGAGTTTCCTGTTGTGCCAGCTCCTCCTGCCTGATCAGGCTCAAGGGTCATGTGTGCTCAGTCCCCAGCCCTGGCTGCTGTGGGGCCCACTTTCCCTACATGTTGGGTCTCAGAACAGGCTTCTGTCTCTGCTCCAGGAGGGGGCGGGGCCTGGTGCTGGAAGGTCCCTCCTGCCTTCTTTTCCCATGGCAAGTGGGTGGTCTTGCTGAGGTCAGTTGTTTATTTGGCTTTATTTTTACAGTGTTTCTTGTTGGATCTGCTGTGGATTCCTTTAAACAATTTATTTTTTTATATAAAAAATTTTATCATGGGTTTTAAAAACTGAGGTCGAATACGTATAACTAGGCTGCGTTCACTACATTCACCCTGTTGGACAACCTTCCCCCATGTCCAGAGCACAATACTGCCACGCTGCACAATAACTACTTCTTTTTAAAGTAAATGGTGGTTAAATAGAAAAAGCAAGTCAAAGAGTAAATAAAAACACTAAGATCATGGCAGTTTTAGACAGGGTGATGGCTGCCAGCAGCAGCCCTGCTATGTCTCTGCCCTTCGCCCTGGCACTTGGCTAGAGTAAGCCACTTGTTTTCTGGGACATTGTTGTGGGGACATTCTTAATTTCCACTCCGGGAGGATATGTTCCCCAAACCCTGACTGCCCCCCCCCTCTTCCGTGCAGGGTCGGCGGACCTGGGTGTCTGTCTGCACAAGTCCTCCAGTGGCCTGGACCTGCCCATGAAGGTGGTGGACATGTTTGGGTGCTGCCTGCCTGTGTGTGCCGTGAACTTTAAGTGGTAGGGGCAGAAACCCAATCTCCTGGGGTCGGGTTCTCAGGTCAGCTGCACAGGGTGGGCAGTGTGGCCAGGACTGCTGTGAAGTGCCCCGTCAGGGCCAGCTCCTGTGCAGTGCAGGGAGGCTCAGAGGGGCCGTGGCTGTTGGGGTCAGGCTGAGCCCCACTCAGTACAGTTGGCTCTCTGTACCTACGGATGGAACCAAGCGTGGGTCATTGTAGCTAGGTTGGCAGTGGTGAGGCCTGTACGGAGCATACAGATTTTTCTTGTCCTTATTCCCTGCACAATACAGTGTAATGACTGTTCACGTGGCTTGCATTGCTTTAGGTGTCCAAGCAACCTGGAGGGGACTTAGAGTATGAGATCCGTGCAGGATACAGATACCACACCATTTCACAGAAGGAGCTGGGGCACCTGGGGGAGGGGCTCTGGGAATGAATCCCCTGCAGATGCTGAGGCGTGACAAGTTGGCTTTGGTTTGGGCTCATGCTGAATAAAGCACCGAATCTTGAGCATTCGCCCTCCTCCCCCTCAGTCTCGCTCATAGTAAGGAATGTGGCTGCAATCGCCACCTGCTTTACGTGGTTCTCTCCCTCCCCTCCTCCTCCTCGTCCCTTGGCTGAGCTCTTGTAGCTGGGGTGGGATTACTGCAGGGAGTGTAATTCTGTGACCCCTCTCTCCCTGGCCAAGGTGGGTGCTGGAAAGGGCAGCTCCAGACCAGGTCCTGGAGGCAGTGGCCCTGCATGGGCCAGGTCCTCGCCTCTGTGGGGACCAGCCTCTGGATGGGAAGTTCAGGGGCCAGACCCTCTGTGAGCTAAGCTGGGTCTCTTGGGAACAGACCTCCTGGTGGCCCGTCCCTAATGTGCTGAGCCCAGCACCAGGGCCTTGCCTGTACCCTGGTTCTTGGGCATGGAGCATAGGAAATGATCCTTGAGTACATGGTCCTCAGAGGGCGTGTGACACCCAAGAGCACCTCCCCTGGGGCCTCCTCCACATCTGCCTGGCATTGAGATGTGTCCTCCCACTTCCTTCTGAAGCTCTGTTTCAGAACAGGCTGAGGCCAAACCCTGCCCCTGCCCCCAGCCTCGCCTGAGTGGGGTGGGCCAGCTGGGCACTGCTGGGCACCGCGGCTGGGTCTCAGGCCTCCCCTGGTTCTCTCTGCAGCCTGCATGAGCTTGTGAAGCACGGGGAGAACGGCCTGGTCTTTGAGGATGCGGAGGCGCTGGCAGCTCAACTGCAGGTAGGTGTCCCCTGAGCAGCCGGGGGCACAACACTGAGCTAGCTCTGCTCTCTGCCCGCCCACAGGACCTGGCGGGCGCAGGGCTCTGGAGGGAAGGCTGAGGGAGGCAGTGGGTGGCGGAGTCAGGGCCTGCTTGCCTGTCTTTGGGGATATGGAGGCTGCACCTTAGAAGGTGGGAACCGTGCTGCCACGTGGGGAGGAGCAGACGAGGTGAGGGTTTGTGTGCCGCCTGGGACGTGGTGGTTCTGCAGGGGACACTGTTTCTCCTTACAGAAGTTAACCACTGTCATTCTTGGAAGGTGAACAGCTTTCCCTGAACAGGTCTAGGTAGGATCTAGGCCTTGTCATGTTCAGGGGAACTGCTTTGTGAACAGCTGCAGACCATCTGTACACAGAGGGCTGAGTTCCAGAGCAACTGTTTACAAAGTCAGGTGGGCTGGATCGGGTCTGCAGCTGTAGGGTGCCAGTCCCCTCGGGAACATTTGGGTAAAGCCAGAACCCGGGATCATCTGCCTGCCTCCTAGCAGTCAGGTGGGACTGTGCCCTGTGCAGGACACTAGGCCACATGTGCTCCAGGGCACAGGTGTGGGAAAGTGGGGGATAGCCCTGGGGAGGGGCAAGTGGGGGACGGGTGCTGCTGGGTGAGCAGCCTGCAGCTGGCAGGCTCAGGGAGGGCTGGCATGGGTGGGTGCCACCATGGGCTCAGTTCTGGTCTTCACTGTTCTGTAGATGCTTTTCTCAAAGTTTCCTGATCCTGCTGGAAAACTAAACCAGTTTCGGAAGAATCTTCGGGAGTCGGAGCAGCTTCGATGGGACGAGAGCTGGCAGCGGACTGTGCTCCCTTTGGTCATGGACACATGACCCTGCAGGCCCAAGGCCAACGTCCCTGATCAGTTGAGGGGTGGTGCACCATCCTGGGGACGGAGAGACACTGCCTGTTCTTCCCTGTCCCTGCCTGCTGCCCCGCAGCCACCCGGGCTTTTATGTAGTGACCCCAGTGGTCAAGCCAGAAGGACGGCTGGGGACTGATGGGAAGCTGGCTCTTCCTGGTTTCTCAGGCACGCAGAACCTGTCTTGTCTTCTGTCTGAGCGTGCTGCTCTCCTGGCACCCCCTGTCCCCTCTTCATCCTCCCAGCTTCTGCCCGTCACGCTCCTCATCTGGGTTCCTGCGGCCTCTGGGGTGAGCGCCCAGCTGTGGAGCCCTATTTGTTAAAGATGTTTTATTTTTTATGAAGGTAGTTCTTGCTTTTGAGCCAAAGCCTGGTTTCGGGCAGATGGGGATTCCCTTACAAACCAGAGCTGAGGACAGAGGGGCACCCACACTCAGTCTTACTCCGTCAGGATAGTTTGTTTCCCGACTTGGCATGTGGCATTCTTCCCTCAAGTCCAAAGGAAGTTTTATCAGCTTTCTCTGTGAAAGCTCTTCCCACTGCAGTGGCTTCATCTTCACGTATGCAAATGGCGAAGCTACAGCATGAGTCTCAGGACTGCCATCTCCGAGTGCTCTTCATAGGGGAACAGTTTCTGGCTGTGAGGAGGCACTGCTTCCCAGCGGATCGCGGCCCGGCCTGCAACAGAGCACACACCTCAGGACGGCAGCGCTGGGCCTGGGGCTGTGTCTGTTTTCCTTGGCTCATGGCCCCCCGGGCTCACCCAGGTGCCCAGGCTACCTCCAGGCACTCTGGGTTCCCTGTCACTGCACATGTGCACATCAGTCTGCGAGGGTGGGGGGCGCTGACTGACCCCACGTCTGCCTGGCTGCTCTACCAGCACCACTCCTCACACGGGCCAGAAGAGGCGCGTTGTCTTTGTGAGCAGGGTGGCTGGCGCTGCGAGCCAGGTGGCTTCTTAGTCATAGTTATAAGTGAAAAGTCACTATTTATAAAGTGAAATAAGGAAATCTGTAATTCTATCATCTAAGTATAATAATTTTTGGTGTATGTTCTAGAAATTCCCTAGGCAATAAGATATATAAAATAACAAGCCCAGGTGTGGCGGTGCACACCTGTAATCCCAGGTATTCAGGAGGCTAAGGCACGAGGATCGCAAGTTTGAGGCTGGCCTGGGCAACTCAGACCCTGTCTTAAAAAAAAAAACAGCTGGGGTGTGGCTTGGTGGTATAGCATCTCTGGGTTCAATCTGCAATTCCCAAAAACCTAATGACAAACTACCACAGTGGGGCTTGTGCTGTGTGCCGATTGGCACTTTGCTGCTTTCACTTGAAACACATTAGAGGTGTCTTTCTTCCTCTCTCTTGGGGCTGCACAGCCTCCCTCAGTACTGAGTGCTCCTGTCTGCCTGCTCGTGGAGGGGCATCTGCGTGTCTTTCTGCACAGAGGTTGGGCAGGGGAGTCTGGACAGCTCCTAGGAGGGGCCTTGCTGGGGGGGCAGTTGGTAGATGGTCCCCCCTGCACCAGCTTTTGTGTGGAATGCTCTGGCTGGGCCTGGCATGCTGGGGCTGTGGGGAAGTGGCAGGGGGACACAGGCTGGGTGATCTGGCTGAGTCCACGGAAACTGGAGTCTGCCCAGTGTCTTCACAGCTGAGACAAGGTCTAGGCTGATCCATGCTGGCCCACAGGGCATTACCCGAGGCTTGGAACAGCAGTCCCTAGGCCACCTCTGCAGCCAGGTCCTTCTCTTACTTGCACTGGGTGCCCGTGACCATGGCTGCCACACTGCTGAGGGCTCTGTGTGCCAGGTACTGTCCTCAGTGTGTTCAGGCTGCCTCTCCATGGTGCAGATGGGGGGACAAGTGACAGTCCTGCTCCACGAGGGTGGAAGTGGGACTACCTTGAGCTGACACTCAGTTGTCATGCGGTTCAGAACCCAGCTGGCATCTCTCTGCCTGCATTTTACAGGGAATGAGGCTCTAAGGCTTATGGAACCTGCCTGAAGCACACAGTAGGGCTGTGGTCTCCGACCTCTGGGGTCACTGTGTTGGACTGCCTTGGCCTGAGTGCCCAGGCCTGGTGTGTGGGACGGGGCTTCCTGGCTTTTCCCAGGGCTCCATTCTCTTACTTTCCTGGTTTCTGCCTCCCTTGATCCCTCACGGGAATAGCTTGGTGGCCTGTGGCCTGGGGGACTCACCTAGCTCGGTGGTGAACAGCTGGCAGGTCTCTGGGTTGCGCATGGTGCAGGCCACATAGACGTCAGGAACCCGGTCCCGCTGGCAGGCAGAGAGCCTCTGCAGGACCCCAACCAGTGCGAGGGTCACTTCTGGGCAGTATAGCACGTCTGTGATGCAGAGCTCTGGTTACTCAGGGGCCTCAGGACTCAGAACCAAGTGGCATGGCCAGGCTGCTGCTGAACCTGGGGAAGGGTGAGGGCCTGCAGTGGCTGTTAGATTAGATCTATGCTGTTCTGCAGAAAGATTGCTCAGGTGACAGGAAAACCCTCAGGACACTAGCCAGCGGAGACTCCCTGGGCTCGTGGGAGTACTGCTGGGAATGCCGGCTGTGCCTGTTCAGAGGCTGCTTGCTTAGTGACGCTGTCTGGGCTCTGCTTTGGGCTTCTGTGTCCTGAGCTCTAACCTGACAGCTGTAGTGGGCATGATGTCAAGTCGGAAAGGGGACGTAGGGCCTTTGGTGGCCTAACCACTCTGCCTTCTCTTAAGGCCACTGTCCTTGTACCAGAAGTGGTTAGCCTCTTCCTGTGGCCTCGGAAGGCCTGGGGCCTGGACCCATGCAGAGAGGTGTAGGCAGAGACAGGCAGGTCGCCCAGCATGGTGGTGGCAGTGAATCCCCAGGACAACCCTGCACAGAGAAGACAGCCGGCACTGACAGGTGGGGCTGCTCAGCTCTTGTTCCCCGACTGCCCTGGGATCCCCCTCAAGGCCTGGTGTGGGACTGGGTGCTGGTGACAGGCGGGAGACTGCTGTGGCCCTGGAATGACCGAGGGCTGCCATGGCTGGCTCTCCCGTCTGAAGACCTGGGGCATGGTGCTCAGAGCACTGGATGCCTGGCAGTGAAGTGGCAGCATCTCTGAGGGGCAGAGCATGTGGGCTCGTGTGCAGCCCCCCTGAATGGAGGAACTGCATGGTAACTGAGGCCTCCTGGGCGTCCTCTGCAGGGCGAGCCTGGCAGAGGGCTCTTCTGCTCAGCTCAAGCCCTGGTGGACAGCCAGGGCACTCCTGATGGAACCACCCCAGCGGCAGCACCTGGAAGGGGCTCCGGGTGCTCTGATGCCTCCCGGAGGCCCGGGCGCCCCTGCTCCCCACCTGCAGCACCCTGCTCCCTAGCCCTCAGCAGAGCGCTGGCGGGGCTGGCCCGGGCTTACCTGCTGCGATGACAATGTCTGGCTGGAAGGCGGATAGCTGAGGGACTGTTGCCTCATCCCAGTCCAGCTGGGCCACCGTCACCAGGGGGCACTCTGAGTCAGCCGTGGCCTCCGGCTCCAGTGGGAGGCCGTTGAGAAGCACGTTTCCTCGGAGCTGCTTGAGGACACGGCTGTGACAGTCACTGAAGATGTATGCTCGGGGGTGGCATGTCTTGCAGATGACCACACCTGTGAGGCCAGCGCCACTGCCCAGCTCTAGCACAGTCCTGGGTGGGCGAAAGGGAGCCTGTCAGTCTGTGCCAGGGCCAACCCGCCTGGTGCCTGCCCTGTGCCTGCGGTCACCTGCGCCTGAAGGCTGCTGGGTTCTCTATGGCCCACTCTGCGAGGTAGAGGGCTGCATCCCACGTGACCAGGCCCGTGGTGCCGTGGGAAACGATGGCTGTGCTCTCCGAGAGGGTGACTGAATCTCCTGAAGGCTGCACGAAGAGACGGGGGGGGGGGGGGGGGGGAATGAAGCCAGCCATCTGGACACGGTGCTAGTGTTAAGTCACAGTGGCGGCCACACCACAGCCACCACCCGGCAAGGGAAAAGAAACTTCCCACACAGCAACCGTGGTGCAGCTCGGGGCCAGTCAGCATGCGGGAAGTGGAGGGGCCGGCTGGACGCCCCCACAGGTGCCCCCAGGCCCAGCTCTGACGGCCAGGGCCATTCAGCAGAGGGGTGGCAAGGATAGAGTGTGGGAGGGAGGCCTTGGGTTGTGCCCAGTTAATGGACAGGACTAATGCTGGTGTCTGCGGGCCCATAGCAGAGTGAGGTACACAAACTCAGGGACATGACCAACAGGCAGGATGGCGGTTACTGGTGCTGGGACTGGCTGGGTCAGGTGGAGGGCCTCAGGGGCTGCGGCCAGGGTTCTGTCCCACCACCAGAGTGGCGGTCACTGTGGCTGCTGCCGTGCAGTGACTCTGTGAGCTCTGTATTTCTTGCGTGTGGTTTTCTGTAGCTGTTTTATAATAGCAGCTTAAAGCAAACCAGTGAAGCAACCCAACCTCCTTCCGGCTATTGTGTGCAGAAGGGGTTTCCATGTGACAGTAGGAGGGGCAGTCGGGCCAGTGACGGTGGTGGCAGCAGAGTGAGAAGAGACTGCTGTAGAGACTGCTGTCCTGTGAGGTCCACACAGTCAGGTGTGAACTGAAGGCTGGACACCAGGTCCTTGCTAACGAGTAACTGAGTGGCTGCCTGAGACAGGTTCTGTTGTTTATTGGAGTGCTTGGTTTTGGGCGAGGCAAAGGAGGTTGCAGAGCTGAGGGGTCAGGATCAACCCTGTGCTGTTGTCACCCCCTGCTGTCACCCCCTGGAGCACAGCTGTTTGGCCTGTGCACATCTCCTACCAGCACATAGCTTCGGTGGCACTGGGTGGGCTCCTCTGTGGTCAGGACCTCTGCCAGTGCCTCGTACAGCTCGTCCAAAGGCTCTGCGTGGACAACCTCGTGCTGTGGGGTAAAGAGTGACAGCTTCAGTGGAGGGCATCAGTGTGACCCTCAGAAAGAACTCCAGATTCTGTTTGCCTCTGCGCCAACCTGCGGCTGTGTTAGACGGGACCTGCACCTAAGTTAGGAGATTTGGAGTGAAGTGACTTAATAGAGAACATCTAGTATGTGGGTAGCAAGGTGCAGAGTGAGGGTGGCACAGTCTAGGAGAGCAAATTCCACTGAGAGGAAGCTCTGCCATTTTCACATGGAGGAGATCTGAAGGGAGTGCAGCAGAAGCCACAGTAAGGTGCCCACAGGGCAGCGTGGCTTCCAAGCTGCTTCCCAGTGGCAACCCCAGGCCCGGGCTTCCCAGGTCAGCGCAGGGTCCGCTGGAGGGCAGACACACTTCAGGAGGTGCTGAGACCACCACAGAAGCACCATGTGATGAGGCCCGGGGACAGGGGTGATGAGAAGCAAGGGTTACTTGTGTGCTAAGCTCAGTGAGGTGTGGCCCTGTCAGTTGGTGGCAGCTGAGGCATGTACTACTGCTGTGGAGGAACCGCTTCTAATGCTGTCGAGCACTGAGCCCGATGGGCACACATCCTGTGCCCGTCAGGAAGCCCACTCAGCTCAATGGGGAGAATTCAGTGAGGAACCAGCTCTGAAGGCACTTCCAATAGAGGCTGGCGGGCCACCCAGGGCTGGCAAGGGCAGGGCGCTGTCGGAGCCTGCCACACTGGCAGGATGGAGGGAGGAGGGGCTTCCAGCACTCAGGGCCAGGGCTGCCTGGCAGGATGAGGACCTGCCTGGTGAGAGGGGCCCAGAGGAGACACAGCTGCTGCCAATACCCTGCAAGCAGGTGAGGGAGAAATGAAATCCTGCTGGCAGCCCACTGTCCAGGAGGCCCCTGCCTAGCAGGTATGAAGAGCAGGGAGGGATGTGAGCTCCAAGAGGCAAAGCCCTGGCGGGGAGTCCCCTCTGCATAGCCAGCCTAGTTCCACTTGTGGTCTGGTTACAGGAGACACTGCCCACCACTGACCTTTTTGATGAGCTCCAAGAGGAAGCTCTGGGTGTACTTCACCGACGGTGGGTGCCTTATACACACAGGATGTTTCACTGTCTATGAAAAAAGAAAAAAAAAAGGTTGGTTGCTGGAGACACCCTGTATTAAGTGTCCTGTGAGCTTCAGGCAATTAGAGGGTGAGCCCAGTTACCCACTGCCTTGACAAGGGTGTGCAGGGACACAGGGTTATGGCAAGATGTACCGCAGGCACCTGCAAGACTGAGCCTGAAGATTTAAGCTCTCTCCTAAAAATGCTCCGACCCTAGTCACACAAGTGAGGTTTCTAACACCCACTCTGGGCAGGGACACAGGCACAGTGACTGGCTCCCTTCCTTCCAGGGTAACCAGTAAGAACTGGAGTCTGAAGGGAGGACAGTGGTCAGATTTTCTGGCTTCACAGAAGAGGCGAGAGTACAGCAGTATGAACCAGACCCGGGCACCTGTGCTCCTGGAGGGAGAGTCCTAGCCAAGCAGCAGGCCTGGAGACCAAAGAGGGAAGAGGCCAGGGCGGAGCCTGGACCAGGGTAGGCGGAGGAAGGTTCTCTGGGCTGATGCCTCAGAGGCAGCCTCGAGAAGGCAGGAGCAGGAGGAGCAGCAGCAGCCTGTACAATTCCAGGCAGCACAGCTGGCACTGTGGGAAGGAGCAGGAAGCGACTGGCGCTTGGGGAAAGGCAGGTGGGGAAGTGGGCCTGGGGGAGAGGCAGGGCTGCTGCGAGGAGGGACCCAGAGCTTCACAAGGGCCACAGGATACTCACACAAGCCCTAGGGGCTTTCTAGGAGATCCATGTTAAGATTGATTTATTCGATTTAATGGACAGCCACAGTAGGTTTTTTCCTTTGCTTTGCTAGGAACTGAACCCAGGGCTCGCAAATGCTGGGCAAGTGCTCTAGCACTGAGCTGCCCTTGGCCCCATAGTAGGCTTTTAAAGCAGCTGTTTGTTTATGCTCTACTGCCTGTAGGTGTGACACTGGGTGGAAGCGAACAAAGCCCCAACCACTGCACCACCCTCAAGGTCTTCCCCTGCTCTGGCTTCGTCTTTCCCACACTCACCCCCAGCACAGGAATTTCTGACCTGGGCTCCTTGGATGGGTTTTGTTGTTGGGGGTGAATGTCTGTGTCACCCCTGAATTTGTATGAAGAACATATGTTTCAGATATGTCTTTCCAGAAAGGGAGACTCTAACTTTGGCCTTTGAGAAGCCTCATGACCCCTGAGAAGTTTGTGAACTGCCCTTGACCCACATGGCCAGGGTCAGGGTGGGGCACACCTCTACCCTGTGTGGAGATGCACTTCAGAGTCCAAACACCACTTCAGCAGAGCAAGGGTCCCTGCATGTGTGTGAGAGACAGGAGTTGGTAAGACGGGGTCTTTACTTTGCTTTAAATGCAAAGAAGAAAGTCTCTGAGCAACTACCATTTGCTGGGGGCTGTCCCTGTACCTGTCAGGTCTGTTTTCACTGCGGATGGTTTAAAAACATCCCCCAGCTTCCCTCCTCTCGAGCAGAGTTTTGTATATTCTGATGTCTTCAACCAAGAAAACAAAGGAGCCAGAGCCGTCGGAGGCTCTGACATGACGTGCAGCGCTGGATGGTTTTGTTCTTTGAACATGGTGTTTTCTAAGGGTACGTGTGCACTTGTGGCTCTTCTGTCCCGATATGTGCCCAGTGATCCTGGGGTTCTTACCTTCTGCAGAATATCCAGCAGCAGCTCGGAATCTGATGACGTCCTTAGTTTCTCTTCTAGGCTCTATTTGGAGGGGAAAGAGAAATCTCAAGGGCATTTTCGTAGGAACATTAAACATGCAGTAGAACATGCTGGCAAAGCACTAAGTGATCTCTCCCCTGGGACCTGGAGTCACTTGGAAATGGAAGCTATGAGGCTAAGGCCTGACCTTCAGATGTCAGAGGTCACACCCGGATGAGTCACGGAAAATGTCAGGGGCTGACTCTTGGTTCCCATTAGCCCCGGCTGTTCAGTGGTCACCTGGGTCACAGAGCAGCTCCACAGCCGAACTGGAAAGCCATGGCTTCAGGTTGGATGGGCTTGTCTGGGACCTGACATCTGAGTTAAAATGAGATTCAGAATGTGCAGATGCCAGGTCCAGTCATGCTGGCCTCTTTCTCCAGGGACTCAAGCCCACCAGTGAGCTCAGGCTTCAGTCAGGCAGATGGCTTCCGCCAGCCTCGGTAACCCCAGGGCCCCTGGCCATGCCCTAAAAGGCCCTCCCGGCCTGGCTGCTCTGACTCCATCTCCCACCACCCTGCCCCATCTGTGCTCAGGTGGTCCCAACACAGGACATTCCTTGAGCCTTCTTACTGTCCACTGCGTCACCGTTCAGGGCCCAGGTCAAATGATGATTTTTGGGGAGGCCTCCCCCGAGTCCCCTACTTTGATGAATCCTCCTCCCAGTTCTCCATTTTCCTGTTCTATTGGCTTTCTGGCCACTCTCATCTCCTGGCTGCTTCTTACTAGTTGTTTATTTATCCTCGGGCTCTCTCATCTGAGCAGGTCCTCATGTCTAATGTGTACTGCTGACCCCTGGCTCACAGAAAGCATTCAAAAAACATTTGGATGCTGAATAAAAACACCAGGTAACACGTGTGTGCATTTACCATAATCTAAGCATTGCTTCAAGGGCTTTGGTACTCAAGTGATTCTGAATACAAAATAATATATGGTTGTTATCATTATATCCCCCATTTTACTAACTAAAACTATGGCACTGAGAGATGTAGTCACTTTTCCATGGTCACACGGTGCACTGGGGGTTAGGTCAGGGTTCAGGTGTCTCTCTGGCCTGCCTCTCATCTACCGCATTCTTTTCTTTTCTTCATGAAGCCTTTGCTCAAACTGAGCGACAATAAGAGGCCCCACCGCATGGATGTTGGGGGTGAGCCCAAGTAAGTATCTAACACGGTTTGCGAACAATTACTCTCCACGTGAATGGGGACCTACGGATGCTGTTAGGCTTTCAATTTTGGCTTAAAAAATGTACACGTCCCTCCTCACCGGAAATGATCTGAGTGCTAAATGTTTTATGTTGATGAAATAACACAGGAGACTGGCCACCACTCCATCTGACGGCAGGCCCGGAGGAATGGCTATCCAAACTGACTCACTCCAGTGAGCTCAGTGCACACGATTATCTACGAGGCGGGTCCACTAAGCCCCTCTGTGGGCAGCCGGACCGCTCGCAGGCCCAGAACGCGGGAGGCCGCCCCTTGGTCTCTTGGCCTAAGCTGCGGGAGTTGTCCCTTGCTCGACACCGCGGAGGCCACCGCGGGTGGGGTCCTGCGACCAGGCCCGCGCGCCGGAGAGCGCGGCTCCTGCAGAGGACGCCCACCTTCCCGGAGGCGCGAGGGCAGCACTCCCAGGTGGCCGACGGCATGAGACAGCAGGAAACCGGTCGGGCACCGCCCGCGACCCCGGGGGTCCTCCGCAAGCCGGGAGGAGCCCGCCTCCCTCCGCCCGGCGGAGCGGCCCGCAGGCTGGGGGCAGAGGCCCGGGCCGGCTCCACCCCGCCGGGGCCGAGTCGCGCCCCCCGTCTCCCCGCGCCCCGCGCCCACCTGCCAGGGGAAGGAGCGCAGCGTGCGCGCCGCCAGGAAGCGGCGCTCGAAACTCTGCAGCAAGCGCGCGGTCTCCGAGCCCTCCTCGGGCTCCATGGCGGGGCGGGGCGGGGCCGGCGTTGCCGGGAGACCGGGCGGAAGCGGGGCCCAGTCGGCCGGAGGCGGGGCTAGGGGCGGGGCCAGGGCGACTCAGGGGCGGGGCCAGGAGAGGCTCGTGTCCGAGAGACGGCCCTAGGGGCGTGGCCAGGGGCACCTAGGGGCGGGGCTTGGAGTGCGTGAGGCGGGACGCCCCGCCCACATGGTGGGCTTAGGGCGAGGCCGAGGCCAGACGAGGGGCAGGGCCAGGAGGCGAGGCTTGGGGCGGAGCTAAGTGTTGAGGGTTTGGGGACGCTTGGAGTGGGGCAGAGGCGGAGCTTGGCGAGGGGACTTGGGAGGTGTCCCGTGTTGCTGGGGTTCTGGAGGGTTCGAGGGGGGCCCGGGAGCCCAGCAGGCGGCCTGTGGGGGAGCTGTCGGGCCTGGGCCTGCAGAGGGGGGATCAGGGTTTGGGCCCTGGGTGCGGATCTTCACGCACTCCCGAGACCTGGTCTGGGAGCCGGGAGGCGGGGCCGGGGTCGCTCCTGGGAGGGTCCGGTCAGCCCTTCTGTGCCTTCAGGTGGGTCTCGGTGGGGGACAGAGGAGCGGGCGCGTGCGGGGCGCCGGGCCGCCCTCTCTTCGCATAGCACCCTGCCCATCAGGCCGCCTCTCCCGGCCCAGCAGAAGCACCCCGCACTCCTGTCCTAGCCTTTGGATCTGTCACCCAACAAGTTTTTTGTCCACCAAACGCTACTAAGCGCCCACTGCATGCGTGGCTCTGTCAGGCACTGGGGCTGTAACTGGGAAAATCCAGGTGTGGGTCGTGCCCTCCCAGGGCGGGGGCGCAGGGCCTCGGTCGGGGAGGGAGGTGGCCACCTCATCAGTTCTCTCGCAGGCCTCGGAGTGAGCACACAGGACTCAGAGGGCTTCCGGCAGGGTTTGGATCTTGCAGGGAAAGGGGTCTGAAGGAAGGGTGGGAGCTGGCTTCTGGGAGTGGTTTGCAGAGGAATAATGAACCCTAACCCGTTCAAGGCGGGACAGCTAGCAGCTCACTGGCACAGCCCCTGCAGTTTGCTCCGTGTTCAAGGTCTAACATGTTTACCTTAGCAAATCGCTCAAAAAACTCCATTTGGAAGAGTTCCGAGCTTTAATTTGTTGAATATACTTGCAGAAGGTAGATGAGGGGACAGATTAAGCCTTATTATCTCCTTCGGATGAGAAATACTTGAGCTCTGATCAGCTTTGCGAACTAGAGAGGGGAATTAATTTTAATTGAATGCAAGTATTAGCTCTATCTGTTGTTCCTCTCTGGACCAACAACAACAAAAACCAAAAACAAAAGTTCATCTTTTATTTCCTGAACACTGCTGATTTGAATAAAGACAGTGGACCATGGTTATTGCTGTGTTTTTACCCAGAATGAAGAGTTTGTGAGTCCGAGATGCTGCACAGATCCTCAGTTGCAGCGTTGTGAGGCCGTGGCCTGAGACACTGATGTGCTGGGAGCAGGCTGGGTCTTTAAGGAAGGCTGGCTTGAGAGCTGGGGCAAGGACCCTGGCTGGCTCTTGCTGTCTTGCCTTAGTAGACAGTGCACACCAACAGGAATGGTTAGGTGCACTCATAAACGTGGGCTCATTCTCTGAACATGCATATTAGTTATTAATCACCATTTCTCTGTGGAACCAAATGCCACGATAGTGCTGTGGGGTGCACTCCTCCAATATGAATAAATCCAGCCTTTCCTGATGCCAGACAGGAGCAGATTGAGGAAGGACCCTACTTGGTCACAGGCCTGACCTGCGCATGGAGAAGACGTCTTATCTTGGAGTGTAGGCTCTCAGGAGGGACATGTCTTAGATCTAAATCTGGGGTAAAGGAACTTTACCCCTTAATCTTTTAGGTCTCGCCATGCAGTGTGGTGTGTTCAGGTGGTGTTGATCTGGAGAGCAGGATAAGGCCTTATCTATGAGGTCCTGCCTGATACAAGGGGGAGCGTGTACACAAACCAGATGAAAGATTCAAGTTCCGGATTTGAGGCTTTCTATAATGCAGTAATAATAACCTAATGCATTTTAGCTATATGGAATGGTGGCCTTTGAGAAATGATGCTGTGGGCATGGTAGTTCAATCAGTACATTGAGGTCTTTCCTTTCTCTCTCCTATGGCTAATGGGTTCTGTAAAAAAGGGCCAATTGATTTCTTTTTAAAATGTTGCTTCAGGGGGTGCAGACATTTATAGGGCATGTTTCAACTTACAGAAAAATTTTGTAGTTCAAATATAAATTACATTAAACGTGGACTCTGTAATGGAATTTAAGGTTAAGTAATGTTTCGACTTTCCTTAGGCTGTTTCTAGCGTCCTGCTGGTCAGGTCGGGTTGTAATAAGGAATACAGTTGGGAGATGGAATCAAGTTCGGATGCAGTCGTACTAGATTAGAGGAGGCCCTGAATCCATCATCTGGCGTCCTTAGGAGAGAGAAATGTGCCACAGAAAATCAAAGACACAGGGGAAGATGTCCATGTGACCTTAGAGACAGACTGGAGTGATGCCACCACAAGCCAAAGAGCACCAAGGACTGCAGGCAAGCACCCGAGGCCCGATGAAGTGGGAAGGACCCAGGGGATCCAGGGAGCACGACCCCGCTGACACCTGGCTTTGGACTTCCCGTCTACAGGTCTGTGCAATGATGACTCACTCTTGTTTAAGCCACCCGGGTTGTAGTGCTTTGTTACAGGAGCCCTACGAAGCTAATGCAAGTGGCTACCCATCTTCTGGGACTCAGTGCAGAGTAAAAGTGCACGCCTTTGCTACCCAACCAGGCATTTAAAAATGGTGGCAGCAGATGATGGGCTCTTCTGAGCCCTGGCCCCAGTGGAACTGTGCAGGTTGCAGGTCCAGGAAGCTGCCCTCGTTCTGGGTTCTCAACATGCCCAATGCTCCGTGGCTGCAGGAAGCGGTTGGCCATAGGCTATTGCAAAACACAAGGAGCAACCACAGGAAACCCAAAGACCACTCACTCCTTCTTCCAGTGAATGATGTGTATGTCACACTAGCGAAATAGGACCCCGAGACTTCCCAGATTGATACCGAGTCCAATTGCTGTGTTTTGGAGAGCAGGCGCCCTCAGTCTTTGATCCTGTTAAAAAAAATCAGAGGGTTTTAAATCATCTAGTTCTTAAGAGGCTGTTTTGGCTGCTCCTGGGTCCCTGGGAAGTTTCCCATCCGAGCGTGAGTGAATATTAAATATGGAAATGAAATGTACATTTTAGCCCCAGAAAGTGCTCACTGTAGAGAATTCTCAGAGGGCAAGTCGTTGAAAGCCGATTTACTAAATGACCTCTTCGCCAAATGACCCATTTGCTTAATGACCACTTTACCAAACGACCAATTTGCTAAAAGCCAATTTGCTGAAAATCAGTTTGTGGGATGTCCAGCTTCTCAGTGACGGACAGTGAAGCACCTGACCTACCCCAGGTTCCTGACACCTGCTGCAAAATAGTTGGAGCAAAACTCTAAAACTCAAAAGGAAAACACCCTCAAGGATTTGGTGGCCTCTTCATTCATTTAACCACTTCCCTATAAAAACAGGCTGTTTCCTGTAAGGCCCTAAGAGCCAAGCTGTGGGCAGTGCTCAGAGGGGAGAGGCTGAGTACCTTTGTGAGTGTAACTGCTGTGAGGACCCCATAAGTCACTGGACAGTAGTTAAGTCTTAAGACGGCCAGTGTTTGTAAACAGCCTCCCGAGGAGGGTGGCGCAGAATTCCAGAGAAGACTCCGTTCCCCCGCTATGTGGCCACGTTTGGCGTCTTGACCTCCTGAGGTTGGCCAATCTCATTTCAGGCCCTTCCCTCTCTTTTCAGCAAGGAGTGGAAGTGTGAGGTTCTCCCACTCTGGGCAGCCCTCCCTTCTCCTGGAGGAGCCTGTTTTCTGTATTGAGCAGGACATCTTTGGGGCAGATGGCCATGATTCCTGAGGATCAGCAGGGCAGGGTTACACCCCGACTCCGTCTGCGGTGCCCATGGAAATCATGGAGGATCCCGGCTTCCTCAGCCCCGTGTTTAGAGCTGCTCTCCTCTTGCTCTGAGGGCTCCAAAGCTGCTGGGAAACAGGATGGTTCTGCTTGAATTCCTGCCCCCCCTTCCCGCCAGAGAACCCTTTTATATTTTTCAGTTTTTGGTACTGGGGATTGAACCCTGTGGGGGGCTTAACCATGGAGCCACATCCTCAGCCCTTTTTATTTTTACTTAGAGACAGGGTCTTGCTGAGTTGCCTAGGACCTTGCTGAGTTGCTGAGGCTGGCTTTGGACTCTCCATCCTCCTGCCTCAGCCTCTGGAGCCGCTGGGATTACCGGTGTGTGCCACCGCGCCCTGCTCCATTTTTGATTCTTTTCTACTCAGGACAGAACAGACTGCAGTCACCCAAGAGATGCTCCTGGACTCTCACCACCAGCAGCAGGTGAGACTCAAAAGCAGACGCTGGGTACCCAGTCAGGACCCAGTGCCCAGATGATGGCTGCGCATGCTCCAGAGAAGGGAGGACAAATGCCTCGACTGGAGCTTCAGGGCAGGCGGGTGGATGGGACTCTGGGGAAGTGTGCTCAGCCAGAGGCAGCCTGTGGTTTGGACAGGAGCCTGCACTGGGAGGTGGGGACTTTTAAAGGGCATGGCCTAGCTGAAAGGCGTGAGGTCACTAGGGCCACCAGGAAGTGAGCGGCTGGCTCCACTATGGCTCCCAGACTTGAGGACCGCCTCACCACAGGCTCAGAAGCACCAGAGACAGCTGACCTGGATCCAAGCCTCCCGACGGTGAGCCAAATTGAACCTTCCCTCCAGCTGAGTTGCTTGTCTCAGGTATTTTGTCACAGTGCCAGACAGCTGCCTAACAGCCCCTGAGACCAAAGGATTTTCTGCCTGTTGGTCAGTTCAGCAGAGATGGACCCACAAACAGCTGCCCGCTCTCTCAAACTGTCTGGTCAGTCAGGCACTCCTCCTGTAAGTATCCCCAAGTCACTCTGCACCTGTTGGGTCACAAACTTGTGAACCTGGTTTACAGACACTGGGTGTCAGGGGAACGGAGGCCTGGGCGCTGGGCCGCGGTGCTCCGCGGGGATCTGGGTGCAAGAGGGATCGGGGTGGCTGAGGTGACAGAGTTACGTTTTACCTGAACATTGGCACCAACCTGGGCGAGAACCCCCAGGGCTTTCTGACACCTGTTAAGTGACAAAATGAAGATGGTGTCTGGCTGCTGTTCTCGTGGGTCCTTTGCACCGTGCCTGGCTGTCTCCCCTGCTTCCAGCATCAACCAGACCTCGTTGCTGCCGTGACCATCATTAGTGATAGTGAACCAGGCACCTCACTCGCGCCTCTCAGCGAGCGCTGGTTGCACTGTGTTCCTCCGGAGGATGACGTAGTGCTTATATCCGTAACCGTGGGTGGGAGTGTACTTCACATGCCACGCGGTTCACACATTCCAGGGGCTCAGCTCAGTGCATCCCCAGCCTGTGCCTCTGACACCCCGATCGATATTAGAACACTCTCTTCACCCCAAGAAACCCCGTTCCATCAGGGCTCATCCGTCACTCCCCCGACCCCCTCTACCTCCAGCTCTGGCCACCATCACTCTGCTTGCTTTCTCTTAAATGTGCCTCTTCTGGATGTTTATCTAGAGGAGTCATGACATGTGGCCTTTGTGTCTGGCTCCTTTCTCTTAGCATGCTGTTTGCAGGTTCTATTCACCTCGCAGCCTGCATCAGTGCTTGCTTCCTTTTCTTAGCTGTGTAATATTCTACTGTGTGGACACTTCATATTTTCTTACTCATTCTTCTATTGGTGCACGTTGGGTCCTTCCTCTGTTGGTGCACGTCCTTCCTTCCTGTTGACAAGTATCAATAATGCTGCTGTGAGCATTTGTTTTTATATGAACAGACTTGCTCATTTTTTGATAGGGGCACATGAGGATCAGTAGAGTGATTTGGGGGAATCTCATTGGTGATCTATGCAAAAGGATCCAGCATGAAGTGTTGAGAGCCACAGCCGAAGGGGCCCCAGCAAACTTCCAGCTGCCAGCTGATGATTGGCTCACAGCAGCCACGGCAAACTTCTAGCTGCCAACTGATTGGCTCCTCTGTGGTGATGCTCATTGGGCTGTTTCCCCGCCCTTTCAGACCACGGAGATGCTCATTGGGGGACTCTTTTTTGGCTCCGCCCACACGACCCAGCCAATCAGCCTCAAGAGCAGGAGGAGTCGGGGAAGTGGAGAGGCTTGTGGGAAGCCGGTGGTGGCAGTTGGGCTCTGAGGGTTTTTCCCGAGGAGCAGTTTTGTTTGTCGTGTGTGGTTCTAAAAATAAAGTTCGTTTCCTTTGACAAGTGGCTCCTGAATTGTGCCCAGCCAGACTGCGGCATTTGGTGGGCCGCACGGGGAGCGACTGAGGGTAAGTGATAAGGTAAACTGCTCGCCCCTGAGGGCAGGGCAAGAGGATGGGTAGCCATTTTAAGATTCTTCTTTTGTTTTGTTTCGCTTTTGTTTTAAGTTGCCTGTCCCTGGAGATGAGTGAGACGGAAGAAAAACCGCTCACATCTGAGGAACAGATAGGGAGAAAGGGCAGATGGACATTTCAGGAGGATAGAAAGGCTATTATAATGATTTTTTGTTGTTCCAATTTTGTTTCATTCTGTCTCAGCTTTGTTTGGCGTCATCTTGTTGGGTTGTATTATAGTTATAGTAGAAATATTCAAGTAAAAGGGAAGGTCTCTCGAGCTAGTCAGACAGAGGAAGAAAGTTTAGAGCAGAAAAAGCCATCAGGGGGAAAGTTACAACAGGAGACTGCTACTAACACCTTTCTATCACCAGAGGGCGTAAGTGTCCAACCAACAGCGCCACCTCCATATGCTGGGAGGCCCCCAACCTCCGTAGTTGATAGATGGGATCCTGAGACAGGACCTCAAAGATCAGCATGCTCTGTATTTGAACAAGCAGGAGGGCAGCGAATTCACCATGTTTTAGATTTCAAAACAGTGAAGCAGCTAAAAGAGGCTGTAACAACCTATGGTCCTCAAGCACCCTTCACTGTAAACATGGTCAAATCCATTACCAACTTGAACATGATGCCAGCAGATTGGGCTAGTATGTGTAAAGCTGTGCTAAATAGAGGGCAATACCTGTTATGGAAGGTTGCCAATGAGGAATTTTGCACGGAGACAGCTAGGCAAAATGCAGCAGCTGGTTATCCTCAGAGAAATCTAGATATGTTGTTAGGAAAGGGACCTTATGAGGATCAGCAGCAACAAATTGCATATGATCCTGCCATATACTCACAAATTGCTGTAGAGGGGGTTAGGGCATGGAAGACTTTACAAGGACATGGAGGTTTACAAGGTCAATTATCTAAGGTAATACAAGGAGCTAATGAACCTTATGCTGAATTTGTAGATAGGCTTATTCAAACAGCTACCAGAGTTTTTGGGAATACAGAACAAGCAATGCCATTAATAAAACAACTGGCTTATGAGCAAGCAAATTGTTGGTGCAGAGAGGTCATTAGACCATGGAAACATGAAGATTTAAACACATATATTAAATTATGTAGAGACATTAATGAACAAGGGCAAGTCGTGGCAGCTGCAGTAAAACAGGTTTTAGATGCCAGGCCCAAAACATGCTACAATTGTGAACAAACAGGACATTTTAAAAGGAATTGCCCCATAGGAGGAGGGTTTAATAATACTAGGTATCAAAGGAGTAGAATACCGGGTATTTGCCCACGATGCCGTAGAGGGAGAACAGCAGCCGATTTGGATTCCAGAGAGATTAACTAAGGTCCTGACCCAGTGATTGTCTGGAGTCGGCGGTCTGTTTGTGTGTTTCCACAGGGAGACCAGCAGCCTATTTGGATTCCAGAGAGACTAACTAGAGCGATTTCTACATACCAAAAAGAAGATGATTTGGCTCAAATCCATAACAGCTGATATCCAGAACTCCAGTTTGGCTATCCTTACATCTGCGACAGAACCAGGATGCTTTTTTCAATATCTATTTTATTATTACCCTTTCCCACATCATGAAGTTCTATTTTGTTTTTTGAGCTCATACAGACCTAGGTTAATGTTTTGCTGATCAGTTCTATTTTTTGACTATAGAGTTTTTAAACATTGCAGTGGAGATTTCACCTGTAAAAAGTTATAAGGCCTTTACTATTATGTTATGTGTTGTATGTATTATATTATGTGTGCATACTTGTGTTTTGTGTTGTATGTTTGTATGTACATATGTCCATATATCATATATGATGAGCGCTCATGAAAAAATGGATCCAAAATTTTTTTTATTCATGATTTAAATGGTTTAATTTAAATTGGGTAAACAGCTGTTGAGGATTGTTTTAATATGTGAACAAAAAAGAAGGTTAACAGATTTGTTTGTTTACTTTCACCTTTCCTTTTCATTATATTTAATAATTATGTTCAAGATAATGTAAATTGTTCAGAAAATTGTTTTCTTTTAGTGCCTTCTGGAATGTTACATAATTTTTTCTTTAGCCATTATTGCCAGAATTCCTATCTTCATCCCAGTGCTGGTGAAGACAAAGATAAAACCAATCTACAGCTTCTGCAATAGCCATCACTGAACTGCTTGCAGAACTTGCCTGGACTATGTATCACTTGTATGCATTGTGAACTCACTTGTATGCATTGTGAACTATCTGTTGGTGCAGCGACTTGTGGTAGTGTTAGGGTATTTTTGCTGTTGGTGTCATCGGTGGTACAATTTTTCCAAAAGGAGCCATCACTAAACTGCTTGCAGAACTTGCCTGGACTATGTATCACTTGTATGCATTGTGAACTCACCTGTATGCATTGTGAACTATCTGTTGGTGCAGCGACTTGTGATAGTGTTAGGGTATTTTTGCTGTTGGTGTCATTGGTGGTACAATTTTTCCAAAAGGAGCCATCAATGGCTTGGTGTATCATCCTCCCTTCTGCTTGTGATGGTCGTTCAGCTAAAATTTGGGGGCCAACAGAGGTGAGTCAAAGAACCTCACCCCCCCGCTGGTACAAAGACCTCTCCACAGGTGTGGCTGTATGCTGGACCGGTAGTCAATGATGGGTAAGATCCAATTGCAATGGTACCAACCTATGACAGGAGGCTGATGCCTTGAGGTCAGCTCATCCGATAACGGGTAAGGACCATATGTACTATTGGACAACCTAAGGCAGGCACGGTCCCTAAGCCACATGCTTGTTGTTTAAACAGAGAGGGGGAGATGTTGAGAGCCACAGCCGAAGGGGCCCCAGCAAACTTCCAGCTGCCAGCTGATTGGCTCCTCTGTGGTGATGCTCATTGGGCTGTTTCCCCGCCCTTTCAGACCACGGAGATGCTCACTGGGGGACTTTTTTTTGGCTCCGCCCACGTGACCCAGCCAATTGGCCTCAAGAGCAGGAGGAGGGGGAGAGGTTGAGAGGCTTGTGGGAAGCCGGTGGTGGCAGTTGGGCTCTGAGGGTTTTCCTGAGGAGCTGTGTGGTGTGGTGTGTGGTTCTAAAAATAAAGTTTGTTTCCTTTGACAAGTGGCTCCTGAATTGTGCCCAGCCAGACTGCGGCAATGAAGGCTTGGGGTTAAAACCTCAACCTTACATTTTACATTTTAAGTCACTTCTCTCTGGGCTCTGCATTTTCTTCATTAAATTGAAGAGCCTGGGAGCACTTATTTTTATCGGGTTTTTGGGAAGACCAAGATGGAGTAACTCTTGTTAAATGTTTCTTGTGGAGCCAGGCAGGATTTTTTAACAATTTCTTCTTAGTTGCAGATGGAAACAATACCATATTATTATTATTTTTTTATGTGGTGCTGAAGATTGAACCCTGTGCCTCGTGCATGCCAGGTAAGCACTCCACTACTGAGCCACTGGCGACCCCAGCATTTTGATGCATAGGGTGTTGGTCATTGCTCTTGGATGAGGGCAGCCTGGGGCATGTTGCTTGGGCAGATCTAGGGCAGAAGTGGGGTATAGTGTGTGCACTTAAGTTTTAGTATTTTTTTTCTAGCAGTTATCTCCCAGATCCAAGATGATCTTGTATTAGAATCCACTCACTCCATTAATGTCCCCAGCGTTAGCACACATCACCACTGGTAGAACCCGCTCATCTGTAGCAAAATGAAAGTGATGTGGAAATCCCGCCTTCTCGTAGGAGGTAAGGTGCGGGTGTGCGTCCCCAGCACCTGGCTTCTTGCTCCGGCTGGGGTAGGAGCATCACCTCAGTCCACAGTACCACCCTCCACCAGTCCGTGAGCTGGACCTGTTGTGACGTTGAGGACGTCGAGGTGCCCTGTCGGTGCCTCACAATGGCTCCCAGCAGGTACCTGGTGCTCCTGCCTCTTTGCTGAATCATCACCCTCTTGCTCTCTGACTCAGGCTGGAATCCGTGTCCCCTGTTACCTGATTCTTCATAGCATAGAGTCACAAAGTCAAAGTCCTCCTGAGCAAACCGGCTCAGGCCAGTATGAATGCTCTCCCTCCGCTCTGGTCACTGTCTGGGTGAGTGCAGGTCTCCCCCAGGGCCCTGGACGGCCTCCCCTAGGACTGTAGTCCCTCCCCTGGAGTCGTGCAGTGGTGCCCTTCTCCTGCCCTGCAAGTTCAAGGAGAGAGTCCCATCAGGGCCATGTCACCTGTCTTTCTCACAGTAAGCAAAGTTCTGTCACCTGATGTCCCTGCCCTGTTCAGAGGCACAGAAAACACAGGGGACATGGAGTTAGCCATGGTCGGAACCGATGCCGTTCACCAGGATCTCATCGACTCTAAAACACTGTTAGCTGCAGGAGGTGCTGCCATCCTATGTGCCGCTCAGAAGAAAAACGCCACCAGAAACCACCTGGATGTGAGATCCAGGAGGAAAAGGCGGGCTCCTGGCAGGGAGGGAAATTGTTCTTCTTGGTAATGCTGCGTCTTCTGTCTCAGTGACCTAGGCTCCCTGTGAAATGCCCCAGAGTTGAAGGGATCTTTGTGAGGATTGTCCGGCCAGCTTTAAGATAAAGTGTCGGGCACTGAGTTTGGGTGTGTAGCAGACAGACATCAGCGAGCACCCCCCAGAGACGGGGACTGGAGGAGATAATCCTCACCCTCTTCCCCCGACAAGTCCTCTGACTCGATGCAGGAGACAGGAAAGCCAGGACACTTACCAACGGGCCCACGCGCACATAGTCTTTGCAGCCACCCCTCGAGGAGGGACCGTCATCCCCATTTGCAGACGAGGAAGCCGAGGTGGAGAGGGGTCACACCGTCTGCATCCACGCGGTGGAGCTGGTCTGACTGGGAGTCTGGCGTCAAGAACACGCTTTGACCACCACGTAGCTCTGCCTCTGGGTAGGTTCGTGGGACCAGGAGCTGAGCCTACGTCTATACAGGGAATAAGGTGCCAGTCTCACCCTCTCCCAAACACCCCACATTTTTCTTGGACACCTCAGTATCGGAGATGGGAATGACTGGGTCCGTCTCCCTCTTCCCCAGCAGAAGAGCCAAGATCTGATCTCACTGGTTCTGATGGGGACAAGGGCCCGAGGCTGAGTCAGTTGCTCTGGTCAGGGCCGCGATATCCTGAGTGGCCAGGCCGGAGCTGCATCCCACCTTGGATCCTGAGGTGGAATCAGCACGTTCCCAAACATGGACCAAAGGCAGAGAACGTGGGCCAGGCTCAGACCAAGGCTCCAGGTGAAGGTCCCTGGGTTCAATCCCCAGTTAAACAACAACAACAACAAAAAACAAACCAAACCACCCCCCTGCCACCGCCACCGCCACCGCCACCGCCAACAACAATAACAGAAGCTCATCCTAGTCTCACCCGGGATGAACCTACAAAAATAGTTACACAACTTCTTCTCCACCAGGCATGCTGCCACTGGCCTGTGAACCCAGCAGCTTGGGAGGCTGAGACAGGAGGATCACAAGTTCAAGGCCAGCCTTAGCAACTAAGTGAGGCCCTAGGCATCTTAGCAAGAGCCTGTCTCAAAATAAATTAAAAAAAAATAAAAAGGGCTGGGGATGTGGATCCATGGTTAAGCACCCCTGGGTTCAATCCCTGGTACCCAAAACAAAACAAAACCCCAGAAAAATGAAAATCCAAAATTCTTTCTCTCTTGGGTTCCAGCATCTTATTTGTAACCTCTACAGGTAACACATTTTCCCTTTCTGATGATAGAATTGCTACGGTTGCTTTAACTTGCAAATCCTCTGATATTTATTTATTGCATTTCTGATTGGCATTAGACACAATTCTCAGTTTTCAGTGACGGGCCCTTTGTTGAACTTACATATAAATTGACTTTGCCCCCAAATATAGAGTTGACTGGAAGGTGACACCCCTAAAATTCTGCGGAACTGGCCCTTTTGTTATTTCGAGGAAGCTGACGCTGACATCACCGGGGATCTGGGCACTCTGAAATCTAGTTGCTCTCCTGATGTTTGCTCTCTCAGTCACAGATGTTCCCAACTTGAAATCGTTTTCTTGTGCTGTGTCCTCAACACACGCCTTCTCCAAAGACGCCCCGAGCTGTCGCCTTAGGAAGGTGATTTTTCTCATTTGGTCTCATAGGACTTTTGGGAGCTGTGCTGCTCCGTGAGAGGAGCTCTGGAGAGCGGCTGGTGGGCGCAGGGGGACACGCCGCACCGCACTTGACTCTGTTTATTTGGGAGCCGCGATCATCAAAAGTGCTGTTTTCAACAAACGCTTCTGAGAAATAATCTGAGTCCTTAATTGGATGCAGAAGAGCAGATATTTACTATTCTACCCTTTAATTAGCGGGACCAGGGCCTCCGCAGCAACAGCCACGGCAGAATCGCCTGCTTCACGAGGTTCATTATTGTCCCCAGTGGTGTCTGTGCGGTGCCACTTTTAAGTCACCTTTAAGGCCTGGACCTTCCTGCAGGCGAATCCTGGCTCCTGAGTCTTGTGCGGAGTCCACCAAGCTCCTCGGAAGCCGTGACTCAGGGAGGTCCCACTGCCTTTTCCCTGGTCTCTTCCGGGGACCAGCCTGTCAGTTGGGTGCGTGGGAAGTAGGAGTGGTTGGGGGTCAGCTGGTGGAGATGTGGCCCAGGTGAGCGCTAGCTGCGCTCCCAGCCCTCCCTCTGCACCCTGTGGCAGTGTCACATGGCTGCCAGAGACACTTGCCCTCGTGACAGCCTCACTCAGACCAGCCCTGCCCTTCACTCCTCCGTGCCTCCTCCTTCCGTCCCGTCTACAGCTCAGCCTGCCCTGGGCTGGGCCTGGCCTGCGAGTCTCACGGTCTGGCTGCCCACCTCTCTTGGAGAAGGAGGACTTCCGAACTTGGTGCCTCAGCCATGTGATAGGACCGGGGACGCTCATTTAAATCCTGAGTCTGCTCCAAATGGACCCTCCCGTGTTGTGCCCTGACCGTTAGCGCTGTCCTGCTGGAGATGCTCAAGGGCTGTGGGGAATAGCATCAGGGCCGTGGGAGGAGAGCATTTAGCCGTGTTAAAGGTCAACGCGTCAGTTTCCACCCAGGCTCCTGGGAGGGACAAGGGAAAGGATGGATCCCCCGAGATGGAGGGCGGATGCTGCCCTCCTGTGGCCCTGTCTGGCAGGGAGGCCCTGCCCCTCGAGGTCCGGGGGCGGGCTGGAGCGCCAGGGCCACAGCTGTGCTCTGTGGCCGTGGTTTTTCCCTCCAGCTCCTTGGGGACCTGGCTGGTGGCCCTACCCTACCCCATGGCAGGGGCTGCCAACGGCAGACACAACCATTTGATGGTCACTTGCCAAACGAGTGGCATGTCATCAACCGCTGGCCCTGTACCAGACCCTCTTTCTGCATAGCCACTTGGGGATTCAGCCAGGAGGGAAAAAGCTCTCATTATGAATCGAGCAGAAGGAACCAAGTCCTGCAAATGAATGGCAGCCAGCAAGAGCCACCGATGAGAGGCAGGACGGCCATGGGACGCCACCGGAACCTCTGCCAGGCCCGGCCTCCATCGCCAGAGGCTGGAGAGGCCGGGCTCCCAACAGCGCATCACGAAAGGCTGCCCAGACCTCCCGGCCGCTGGGCCAACACATGACCGGCCCTGAGATCTGGGGATGAGGGACTGACCACAGAAGTTGTGTCCTGTCGTGATTAAGAGTTGCCAGGATCCAGGACGAGTTCATCTGAGCTCTGCCTCTCGGTGGCTGCGTGGCTTTGAGTGGTCACAGCACCCTATGTCTCAGCTTGCTCACTGCGGAATGGGTGCCAGCGGAGCCCTACCTCAGAGTTGTTGCCCACGGATCTATGTAAACAGTGCCTGGCGCATCCTCAGGGTTGCGAACGTCGTTTTCTTGGGAGGACAGGATGTATTTGTGTGGTTCAGGCCTGAAAATTTAAAAGTGTAATAAGCGGGGAGAAAACCTAGAACCCAATAGTTTCAGGGGAGGGGATGAACCCAAGGTAGGATAGGGTCATGGACAGCCCCCTGTGATTCTTCTAGGGCTAATTGTCAAGTATAGTAGCCACTGACCATTGGTGGTATTTATTTTTAGCTGGAAATCAATTAAAATGAAATTTAATCAATCTTAAATTTTAAAATTCACTTTCTCTGAAGCAGGAGGCAGCACACCACCAGATCTTAAGCTAAACTACAGAGCAATAGTAAGAAAACGGCGTGGCATTGGCACCAAAACAGACTTGCAGACCAAGGGTACAGAACAGAGGACACAGAGGCAAACCCACATAACATGGCTGTCTCATACCAGACAAGGGTGCCAAACATACATTGGAGAACAGACAGCCTCTTCAACAGGTGGTGCTGGGAAAAGTGGAAACC